AGCCCCCTGGCCGCCAGGCCGGAGAAGCATGCTGAGGCCACGGGACCCCCTTTGGAGCTACCCGGCAAGTTTCATATATAGCCAAAAAGGGTGAACGTTTTGGGCTTAGGGTTTCGTTGCAGGGTTTGGGTTTCGTTTTCTTGAGTTTGGGTCTAGCGTTCTAGCATGGGTGCTTGATAATGGCACGCGGATTGGACCTTGAATCCTGAATCATCAACCGTAAAAGACAAGCTTCCACAATCAAACTGGCCCGGACGAAAACATTGCATAGATCCCCACTTAATGAAGATATTCAGAAGGATCGGGATCCTTACATTAACTGCCCGAAGCATCGATGCTGCTGTTCCTGTTGCATCATTCGCTCATGCCCAACCTTCTTCGTATTTGTTTCATGCAGACTACCGCTTTATTTGGATGTTGTGACCATCATATACTTGTGTTTATCTTTGTGCTCTGCCTTGTTGATATTCACACATTTGGTGGGTGTGCTACTCGGATTGGAACCGCTTTGATTAATGCATGGGGTCACTCCTACTGTGGCTCATTTTGTTTTTGCTAGTTGTGTCCGTCTTGCAACCACTATCACTCAGTTCTTCATCTACCGGTATGAAATCATTAGACGCTGCGCCGAGATATAGTGTAAGTCTGGAAGCCATGTCAATGGAATGGAAGTTTGCAAGGCCGTGAACTGCAGATCCCCGAAGAAGGGTTGTGCTTGGGGCCAGAGTTGTCTGTTGCTTTGGGTTCTTAGGGTTTAGGGTTTGGGGTTCAGAGGGTGTCACAGGAGGCTGCCTCAAGTAGTGCAGGAATATTTTCCATCAGCAGTGTGGGATCGTGTTGCTTGGTTGTCATCGCCCGAGAGCCTTTCCCCCTAGTGCCCAATCCCACAGGATCCTTTACCCGACACACCAAAGCCCAAAACCCGGAAGCTGCAGACGCTCAACCCGAACCCCGTAGAATCCTGAAGAACATTACAAGCCCTCAGATAAGCCGCACTATAACACACCGTAATCTGGAGAGTGTTAGCTGAGCTCTAAAGACTTCGAGCGCTTCTCAGGTACCTGGCTGAGTGCTTGAAAGCACTGGAGCCACGTCCTCAGCTGCCGCGGCAATATAGCGGCCTTACTAATTAGCTATACATTTTCGGGTTTTAGGGGTTATTATGGCCCCATCGAATTGTAGTTTTCTTCAGAGTTGGGTGGGGAGAGGTGGGGTGGGGTGGGCCTACAGTGATACTGGTGTTCTGGTGTCTAGGGATTCAGGGTTTAAGGGGCCGGGAGGTTTACCACACCTGCGAAGCTACATCATCAGCCACTAAGCCCGGCTAGTGTCTGTACGAGCTATGAAGGTTATGTCTGACTTGAGAATGCCTCGAAGTTGAAATCGCCTACTTACCGACGAAAAGGAAGCTTAACACTTGCAGATATTCACACGGACCCAGGAGTCCTCGGATGCCTGATGAAGATAGGGGTCGAAATAAGTACTACTACTATATTGGGGTTCCTTACTCTAATTCGAGTATAACGGGCCCCCAAACCCTATTCTTATGATCAAACCCTATATTAAAACTTGTCCGCTTAGGCTGAATAGTCTTCGGACGTTAGATTGCGTTACCACGTACGGCTCGGCCCGCCAGGAAGAAGCTGAAGACGGATGGGTCGGGCTCAAGAAACTGTGGATTTTTCGGGTTTCGTGAAAAGGATTATTAATGAATTCGAATTGAGGGTTTCATAGGTTTTAGGGTCTAGGGTAGTTGTAGGCTTTAGGGTTTATTGCTTTGGGTTTGGTTTCGAGCTTCTTAGTTACATTTGGTAAGGTTCCGAGTGCCTGTAATAGCACTGACTCCCCGGAGCTCTCAGATGCAATCCTTATTACCCTAAACCCATGTCCTTTATCATCTCACGAGGCACTTGCACCCGTAGGCTTTGGCTGCAAGCCGAACAATGTCTAGCCTATAGCTACGTATCCTTGATGTGCACATCGTCTGCAGGTTTACCAAAATTGATGAAGCTCAAAGGACTCGGGTTTTATCATCTGGAATTAAGGGGCGTAGTCTTTTGAGTTTGAGAGCTGGGGGCTGCTGCGGAACAGTTCCGCCTAATCTGTGCACTGCTGCCGAACACAGAGGGCTTGTGTTTCAAACTACTGCTGATGATGATATATATATATATATATATATCATCCTGCATTGCCTTAAGGACCCTAAACTATGCGAATTAGGGTATATTCCGTATTATGGGTAATGCAGGGTTTATATCATCAACCGTATTGAGGCGTTTGGGATTTTGTTCGAAGGCAAGATCATGAGAGCCTCGAAGCTTCAATCCCTGAAGTCCTGAAGCCCTGCCCGGTCCAGGGTTTAGGGGCCCTGGGCCCTAAACCTAAACCCTAACCCCTAAACCCCAAACAACTAAACCCTAAACTCCTAAACCCCTAAGCCCCTAAACCCCCAAACCTAAACCCTAAAGCCCAAGTTGGGGCTTAGGGACCCTTAGGGTTTAGGGATGAATGATTAGCGTCTAGGGACCCGAGACCCTTAGATGACAGCGGAAGGTCTCCCGCCGCCGCGCTTCGAGAGTTGCTCATTGCTCCCTTGCAGATCAATAGGGTCTTCTAGGGTCTCATAAGGTTCTGTAGGGTCTATAGGGTTTTATAATATAAGGTCTATAGGATTTTAAAGTGTAAGGTCTATAGGGTTTATAATATAGGGTCTATAGGGTTTTATAAATATAAGGTCTATAGGGTTCTGTAGGGTTTTATGCAGGAGGGCCGAAGCAGTCAACTTCTGGACGGGTCTCTAAGTGCCATGATGATGTGAGCGAGTTTGTAAAGTTAGGGGTGGCTTACGGGGCTTAGGGTTTAGGGGGCAATGCCTAAACTGAGGGGATTGGTCAACTACTTGCTTTGGCCTTGGTGTTTTCGGTGTAGTAGAGGACCCTGAATGTGATTGCCATGTTCCTTAGGGTAATGAGGAGTAGTGGACGGGAGCTGGAGCTTCTGCCAGCTCAGGTGCACAATGCTGGCAGCCTCGGCCGACAGCTCAGCATTTCTGAGGGGTGTTCCCAGGGAGCCGTATGGCCTGTACACTATGGATTATTCCGCAAACTATATTGACATGGGTCGGCTCGCCTTTTGGCATGTTGGCCGAACGCATGACAGCAACGCTATTGTTATCATCTCGGACAACCTGTTTGCATCTCGGACAGCCAACCCTGCATGTCGGCCAGCCAGGTCCCTGAAATCCCAAATTTTGTGCTTCGGGGTTCTGCGCCCTGGCCATAGCTATAGTATGACGGTTCAGGGTTTAGGCATGTTTGGGTTTAGGGTAGTATAGCCGTATACCACCAAAGCTGTAGACAATGCCAAGCATAAGGGCTACCCTCTCATCCCAGCCTTCCCCGAGGAAGGAGCGAGAGCTCGCAAGCTCTTCCGTGATCAGGGGTCATCTGGGAGTTTCCGAAAATAGGGGACCCGTATATAGTATCCTATATAGTAGGATCCTTATCATAAGGACCCTAAATAAGGTACCACTAATTATTGGAAACTCCCCTATCAGGGCTTTCTTCTTCGGGTTCGTGGTTTTAAAGGAGCCTCTACGGATCCAAGCTAGCCAGCAATCAACGGTTTAGGGTTTTGGGTTTAGGGTTTAGGGTTTAGGGTCTAGGGATTAGTGTCTGGATAGTGGCGACGGCAAGTCGTCCCTTTTTCGGGAACATGTGGCTGCGAGGTACTCGGCCTCCTGCGTTGCTTGAAAGGTGTGAACGTACAGAAGTACAGTAGAAGCCAGAAAGTTGGAATATCATTATCGTAACCCCTTTAAGGTAAATTATAGGGGATCCTACCATTAATCCATATTCCAACTTTCTGCAGTTCCCTTTAGGGCAGTGCATCGTGGTGTCATAGGGAAAGTTTGTTTGGCCACTTAAGATAAGCACACATGTACGTATGCATGCATGTAAATCGGTGTGTACTCCGTGTTTCCGTGAATGTATGCAAGCGTGGACCAGTAGTAACTTTCGTGGCAATTCTCTTGAAGTGGCAGTAATGTGACTGGTTGTTGCTGGATTCCGGATTCAAGCATTGTATCACGTTGCTACATGCAACAACTTCCAAATGTCTTAGCCTTGCGAAGCAATACTGTATGGCCAGAGCTCCTCTGATAGTGTAATTACATTACCCTCTATAGAACTCTTGGTGGAATTTCTGTATTACCTTTCCCAGAGGGTCTATGTATACTACGATGGAATGAGGTCCACCAAGAAACGTGGTTTTGTAATAGTTTAGAGCTCACCGACCTCCCCTGATTCGAGGACGGCTTGCGTTTTCGCAGAATTTGGAAGCAGCCGAGACGGCTGACGGGTCCTCAGGTGGTTTAAGGTTTTAGGGTTTGGGTTTATGGGGTTTCGGGTGGAGCTACTCGCGATGGCGTGATAGTACGTACATGGGCTGCTGAACAGTGTACCATTATGATTCCTTAGGGTTGCTTAATACACTATATACAACATGCACCGAAACCCAATTCGACATATTAAGGCCCGCATATGTCCATCTGGGTACAATCGAAGATGCAGATGCAGGGGGTTGGAAGCGGACAGCTGCCGCTTCGCAGGGCAATCTAGTACCAAAAGGGGCCTAAATAGTTACCTATAGTATTGTGGGAGTTCCTTAATATGGTTACTGTATAATGTACCGCAAAACCCCATTTTAAATTATGAAGACCCCTATATTACAGAGTTCTGGATGATGGTGTTCATGCGGCAGCACTGTGCATGAGCAAGTTTCGAGACTCCCGCACATTCAGATCTACAACAAACCCCAATCTTTCATACGTGGATCCAAGCCGTCTGTAGATCCCAAACAATTGTGGTTTAAGGCATCTAAGTACTTGAAGCACCTCTTCGCTAAACCTTGCGCACGTATGAGAGACACCAAACACTTATGGCCCAAAGACTCTACAACTCAGAAGCAACTCCCAGCAAACCCTGTGCACTAAGGCCGCCATGGAGTTGAATGTCACTTGCCCCATCTTGCTTACCCAAGATGTTCTTCGACGCTTTGGCGACCAGGCACGATATGCATGCGGCGAGGATTGAACCCGACATTGCGAACATCGATTTAGGGCCTTACAGTAGAACCCAGAAAGTTGGAGCATAATTATCCCCATGCCTTTAAGGTAAAGTACAAGGGGATCCAAGCACTAATCGTGCTAAAGCCATGTTCCAACTTTCTCGGGTTCACCATAAAGGTTGAGGGCAATAGGGTTTAGGGTTTATATGAGCTTAGAGTTTAGGTAGTTTCCCGGCAAGCTTACCGTCAGGCTACTCCGGAGTGGTTTCCATAATGTTGTACTTGGGCTTTGCGGTTTAAATTTTCGGACATGAGTTTAAGGAACAGCAATCCACTGTACAGGTAGTTTAGCCTAGGGCATTCACCCCCAACCCCTTGCAGAGCCCTCATAGCCGTAATCCGTAATCCCTAAACCGGCAAGCCTTAGTAAACTCCAAACAAAGCTAAACCTCTAGGTCTAGAACCACTATCGAACCTCCAGAAAACCTGAAACCCCAGTAGGAGTTGTTGGAGCCAAGGTAGGTCAGTGCTTCGGAGTATGGGATGGCTCAGAACTTGGCCTTCTAGGGTTCCACATCTCACTTTTCAGGTGGAGGGTTGGGCGACATACTCACAGAAAGGCTTGCGTCATGATTTGGCAGCATGGTTTTGAGGTAAACCGCAGACCTTCCATGCCCATGAATATACCTTAAGCCCCCAGCCTCCACCTCAAACCTATCAGTGTTGTTCTTGGGACACCGAATTGGCGTAGGAGTCTCAGGGCGGGGCCCAGAGTTTGGTTCGATGCGGAGCATCGTCTTGCTGACTTTCCGGTTCGTCCAATTTAGGGTTTAGGGTTTAGGGTAGCGGTAAGGAGGTGTTACATCGAGCTCAAGTTCGTATTCATACTCATGCCCCGCCCTACAAAGATCCAGTTGAACTGGTCAAACCCGTAACAGGCCGCCCGTGGCTGTCAGAACCCCTGTGGAACCTCATGTTCTTGCAAGTCTTGAGTTTCTACCTGCGGGGCTCTTTCATATACAAATTTACCAGGAGTCTACAATGAGTCCAAGGGACCTAAGGTTTGGGGTTGAGGGATGGTTTAGGATTTAGGATGGAGGCTGGGGTTTCATCTTCGTACTGACCTCTGATCCATTTACTGTTCAGCCCGGTCCGACCCCAGAAAAGCCTGTACTGTAATCGCACGTTGAGACAGGGATTGGCTGGACCCTCGACCTCCATCCCTGAGCCTTACCAAACCTTACCGCGAGGGTCAAGATACCTGTGCTAGCCATATGGGAGCCTCGGACAAAGAAAAGCAGGACCGTGACATAGACTTAGACCCGCACTAGTAGGATCCGTGTCATTGTTGTTGTTACGACTATAACCCTAAAGAACGTGTCCTTGCTTTTCCGGAAACCGCGTGTGACTCCGGAGGCCAACGCGAGAGGCACGCTTAAGATCCGGATCGTGAATATCTCGAGCCTTCTCGCAATCCAGGCCTCGAGTGGCGCGGTTTTCATGACATGTCTGTGTTGCTTTCTCCAGGACTCCAGTTGCTTAGATAGCACCTTAGTCATCACATAACACGTAACCCGGTATTCCAATGTAACTGGAGGTGTAGTACGGTTTAGCAGCTTTAGAAGCGGATCTGAGTCTCCGGGCTTCTTCTAGGGAGCTTCTGCGGCTTCCATGTTAACTTTTAGGATCCCTGGGCATGCTTAGCAGCCCATTTCAGTGGCGCTGAGTTTGAAGTAAGAAGCCCTGAGCTTAGTCATTCCCGCCTGCATGCTGGCTGATCAAGCCTGTTTAGTATGCCCTGATTAATTTTCAATGAGCATTATCGAGCAGGTTCGTTCTTTATATGCAATAGAAGGTTTGGCCAAGCTTGCTCTGATAGAAGGTTCGACCGAGCCTTGGTTTTTGGACGGTCGTATCCAGCGTCGTGGTCGTCTTGGTCGTCAAGTCACTCTGTCACTGTTTCGGGATTTACACCGGCACAATATTCTAGCGTTCAAAGATCAGTGTCCGGGATTTGACGTCATCCTCCGGTGCTAATTTCGTTTGATAGACGTTCGGTTGTCCGACTTTCGTTGTTACTAACCCAAAATCCTAAATCCCTTTGCAAGCCTGGACGAAGACTTAGACGCGAGAGTGGGAGGTCATGCCGTCGTGGTCCCTGTACTCCGTTGGCAAGGTGCGGAACTGATTCAATAGAGGCCCCTTCACGATTCTAGAACTACTTAGGGGCAGTTAGAAATATTTTTTAATTTTGGTTAATATAATCCCTAAGAAACACCGAAAATTATAGTTTTTGCTCGGGTTCTAAGTTCAGTATAGATTAGAATCGGACTTGGGTGTTACTATACTCACTAGCACCACGAAACGATCATGGTTCAGGCTTCTGTATTAGTTCCCTTCTTCCGGACAATCACAATGCAAGCGGAGAGCAGTGTTTCACAGAGGGCCACGAGGCTTTTGGAGCGGCGCTTGGGGAATATAGGGTCGGTGATCAGGGCTGTTTGATGTTGGGCTCGTGGTTTTAAGTCTTCGTCGGGCCTTTAACCGACTGGAAATCACGGAGGAAAGTCGAAGCCTGAAATGCATTTGCTTCATCCCCTTAGGGAATCTTTAGAATCACTTTTGAAGGTCTTCAAGAGTCCTTTGAGGGTTTCTTTCAGGGATCCTCTAATAAGGGCCTTGCATCTCCTGGACACACCGCAGCCAGGGACTCCAAGCTCAGACCTAATCCTCGACACTTTTCCGAAGATCAGACCCCCTGGCCCACGAACCTGCGTCTTGGTTCGGACTCTTCGGACCCTCATGAAAGGCCTCGTCAAAACTCGAAGGCCCGATAAAGCATTGAAACAACTTGTTAAGATCCTGCTTGAAAGCTGTGCACAGCGCTCTAGAATTCTAAACCTCCGAAGATGAAAACAACAGACACCCAAAGCCCTTAGGGACCCCAAAAGGGGAGCCTCGTATACACTGACCAGAACCCTCAACTCTAAACCCTAAGCCTCATAATCCTTCTACACTTACCAGAACCCTAAGCTTAAATCCACAACCCTAGTCCTTCAATTACACAGGCCGCCAGGGACATGCACATGAAGTCCGTGGCCGCCGACGCACGGAGGTCGGGTCTGGACGCCCCGACCTTGGCTTCCCGCAGCTTGCGGGTTCCCTGGGGTCCTTGGGGTCCTTGGGGTTTTCAGGCTTAGGGTTTAGGGGTTTAGGTTCTAGGGTTCTCCGAGTTTTCGGGTTTATGGTTTTGGCTCGTTTAGGGTTCTTCAGATTCTTGCGGGTTGAGGGTTTATTGCAGGCTGTGTCATGTTCTTTCGGTTTCTTTGGGTCGAGGTTCGATTATACATGACGACAGACGATCGAAGCGAGGAACTTATGGTTCCCTGAGGGCGGAGGAGAACGGTCATACCGTGCACAAGACAGATCAGAAAGGCAAGCAGTGTGCTGGATGCTCGACGTTCCTGCCGGAAAAAAGCAGCGATGTGGATTTTACAGGCTGCTCACCGAGTTGTGAGCTGCATGGGGGAAGGAACCTGTACTCCGAAAGCTCTTCGAGCATTTACTCTTGTCTCGGGGGGCTGGTCCATGGCCTACAGGAGCCACTTTCTTGTTTGAAGATCACGTGAGTTCATGAAGCACTCCCAGCTGCTAGAGCGGTGCTCGTAGTAGATTCGTAGATGTCCTGCTGCGACAAGTGCTCGGCAGACTGCTCTGGCTGAGATCGCATCGTTTTCTTACAGCAGCATAGTATGTTATGTTAGTGGAATTCTGCTCCGTTATGTTACATGCATGCATGCATCTTTACCCCTCTCCACAAACATACCTACCTATATACCCATCTACCCACCTGCCTACCTACACCTACCCACCTACCTACTTACCTACCTACCTACAGACTTACGTACGTAGCACATACACACATACATACCATACCCAGATATTATATGTACTGAGAGCAGTTTTGTTATGAAAGGTTTAGTTGAGCCGTAGGGTTCGGGGCATACGGTTGCGGATGTCGAGCTTTTATTCGCCAAGCACAGCACTGTGCTTCAGTCCTTCATTGATCGATTAGAGCTTGCACCAGACAAATAGTCTAGTAATTGTTAGTATCCCGTTGTAGTCCCCATAAAGCCATATTGAAGACTATCCCTTGTTCTAATTCTTCAGGCCCAAGATGCGCCCTAGATGCGCACCCTTCCATCGTTCAAAGCCCGAAAGCTGCATGCCTTGTTTTCAGCCTGCGTCCTTCACCCATAGTAGTTTCAGTAGGATGATTCTTATTGTAACACACCCAAGGAAAGTACCCCCTATACCCGAAGGGTCCTGGGTACAGTTGTGGGGGATACTTTCCGATTCCATAACAGTGATTCCTAACTAGAAACCTGACGTTTAGTATGTAAGTACGTAGGACCCTTTGCTTTGGACGAAAACTGCAGCCTGCGGCCTGGTGAGGTCCGGACACTCAGCTGGGCTCCTGGGCCAATGGACACCAAGATGGTGCAAGAGGTGTCTTTCGGGTTTCTGCCGTTGCAATCATGACGATAATTAGAACTACCTGGACCCTGAAGAACCTAAAAAATTACGCTCCTTATTATGATTTGCTGCCATAAGTCCTTAAACAGGTGGATCCTTATTATAAAGGATCCCAAAATTAGGTACCCCGAATCTTCGGAAAATCACCGGCTTCAGGCTCTGGAGCTTTGCGGCTGATACGATTTGCTCACTCCTAAGCCCACTTTCCCCCCAGCTGATCCTCAAGCCACAGAGACCTTGCAAACCCCAAATCTGAAAGCCCTGAATCCTAAAACCTTTCACAATCCGGGTTTGGGGTTTTAGCCTATAAGAAGTCTCCGAGGAACCCGAAAGGCATGCTTCGAAAGCGCCCTGTGCCTGAGGTACTCGTACAGCCCCAAAAGAGGGAAGCTCTGCCGCAATAGGACTAAGCCTGAAGCACTCTAAGGTTTGGGGTTTGGAGGTTGGGGTTTAAGGTTAGAGTTTGGTGTTCAGGGTGCAGGGTTTAGTGTACTGGGATTTTGGGTTTGGTGTTGACAGTACCCTAAGGCCCCATAGTAATTCCTTTTTTGGACTACCTTACAGGATTCTATATATGAACCCCCCAAAAGGAACCACTTTGGGGCCTTAAGGTAGGGTTTAGGGTTTAGGGTGCAGAGGAAAGCCCCCGAAAGCAGGTTCTGGAGACCTGTCCGGATACCGACGTCCGCGCGCAGTTCCAGGCTTATGCGTTGTCGTGTTTTCTTCCTGTTGGTTAGTAGGGAATGAAAAGGGCCTTATAAAGGGTTCTATAAGGGTTACTATAAGGGATCTATAAGGGTACTATAATATAGGGGCCGTAATAATCCTATAACGTACCTTTGGTTAGTAGGGACTGGAGGAATGGGGTACAATTATAACTGACTACTACTATGACTACCATTCTTCCATTCCCCACTAACCAAAGGTAAGTTTTGTCGGGAGTTGGGGTGTCCCAGATTTGGAGGTTCCCAGAGGGCGCAGGCTTAGAGTCTAGAGATGGCTTTGGAGTTTCCCTCACAGAGTTTGGATTTAGGTTGTAGATTGGAAGGGTGTTTGACGGGGCTAATGATGATTAAGAGCGGAACTGGGTTTAGGATTCTCATGGCGGCTGAAAATCCTAGGTGAACAACATTTATGACCCCTAACACTACGGAAACCTTGTTGTTGTTTGCTGGTTTAGTTTCAACCGCCCACCGTCGACCGTCTTTAAAGCCCTAGACCTTTAGAGCACCCTAACCCTAAACTTATAGGAAACCCCACCATGTTTGCCAGTCCATGTACGAGTCGGGCACGCTGGTCGATCCCAGATACAGTGCTGCCGCGGCCTCGGACGGTTACGAGAACTGTTTAGGGGTTTCGGGCTTTTTAGGGTTTCATGAATTTTAGGGGCCTTTAAGTTTTGAGAGACGATTCAAATTGGTGCTAAGGCTGGGTGTTCATCGTACGAAGTTGGGGTAGAGTGGAGATACTGGACTGGATCACCGTAGCTCTACGAGTTCAAATGACAAATCTAGTCTTTAAACCCTTAACCCTAACTGTAGAAAGGCTATGGAACCCTCCGCCAAGCCCTGAACCTGAGCCTGTTAAAGGGGCTCTGATTAGGCATGTATGTGTCGATGTGCCTCTCTGTCTGAATACCTGTCCGTCTGCTTATAGCATTGAACTTCCGTGTTGTCGTTCGTGCAACATGATGTAGATCTAGACGGCGATGGGAGAGAGAGAGAGAGAGAGAGAAAAAAAAACAGAGTGGGGGGAGGCTACACTCGAAGCCCTCAGACCGAGCCAAGGTGTCCACCCCCATCTCTTACATTCCGAAACTTCCAGTCCCCGAACCTTGAAGACTGGAGAAGCGGTAGGCCGGTAGGCTTTAAACTTTGTGAAGACCACTGCAGCAAGCATGGATGCTGTCACTCACGGCCCTGCCATGCCCGAAATTTGGGCCAGTGTTTTCGACTACCTGCAAGGGCTGAGAAGAAACTGGTGGGAATGTCCTACTTCGAAGGGCGCCCTCGGGGAGACCGACCTCGTATCAGCGATCAGCTGAACCTGCAAGGAATCCCTTCGTCGATTCGCCCTGATGTTTCTGCGCAGGCTGACTTGCCTGGTCCCATATTCGTTGATTTGGCTGGCGCCGCCGTGTGGGTCGTTTACCAACTTCATCACCAGAAACTCCGATGGGAGAAGCAGGGACAATTTTTGGCTTTTGTTTAGTTGGCGGGGCATGTAAATTCTTAGCATTGCTGAATGATCCGCCTTTTTATCAACTTGGGGCCCGACTTGGGGCTGAGAACCTTATAAAGGCCTTGAAACCCGACATCCTCAAAGGCGCAGCTGATGGTCCTGCTCCACGAAGATTTCTACGAGAACCGAGCTCAGCTGGTCTGAGAATCTTGCCAAGGGTCCACGTGCCTATATGGCAAGCTTAGGGCCCCCCTTAGGTCCCCATATAGTACGACAACCTTATGGAAAGGCCCTTAAAGAAGAACCTTAATTTCAGAAAACTACCCGCATGAAGCACTATACTGAGTCAATGTTACGCCAAAGGATGATTCCGGGGTCTAATACGGTTGCCGATGGCTTCAGTGCTGCAGCGGTTGCATTAGGCCTTTTCCGCGAGTGTATGCACAGTATTGTATGTAACTTCTGTCTGGTACAGTGCAGTAAAACATCATGTAATACAATATGAGATAGATAGGTAGAACGATGGATGCATAGGGCTCCTTAGGTGTAGTGTTGAGTTCACACTCTGGATGTAGTTGCGGAATGCCGTTGACAAACATCCGCTTGAAATGCTAAATACCTTGCCCCTCTTGGAAGGCAGCTTTGCAGGAACCATTTGGAGAGTCATATGTTTGTATATATATATATATACATACATCTACGAATATATTAATGTACACTTATATATATATATATATATATATATATATATATATATACATGTACTATATGCATATCTTTACATCTATGTATGTATATATATATATATATATACATGTGTATATATATATATATATAGAGAGAGAGAGAGAGAACTATGTATGTATGTATGTATGTATGTATGTATACGACATGGGCGCATCAACTCTGGTTAGGGTCAGTGACCGGGCGAGTTTTGTCGCTGCCAGGAGGGTCCGGTTCAGGGGGGCTGGATTAGAGCCTCAAGGATCGGAATAGGGTGTAGGGTTCAGGGGCTTAGGGGTTTATGTTGAGGGGTTTAGGGTTTAGGGTTCGGTGAACTGCAAGGATCGACAAGGGCTCTGAGTGGTTATGCAAAATGCTGGAGAGGGTTTCTAGACAGTTTACACATTAGGGTTTCAGAGGGTTTCGACAAGGTTTTAGAGGCTATGAGGCTTCACAAGGTGCTTTGCTAATCTTGGAGACGGTTTTTGGGATGAATTGGTGCTTGGGGGTGTCGAGCTTACGCCTTTGAGGGTCTAAGGTGTTGTGGCCTTCTCGGGCGTAGAGGTTTGTTGATCTGGAGTCTGGGATTTTCGTCGGCGCTCTGCCTTGCACCGGTTAGCCCTCAGTTCCGGGCACCCTTCCCCGCCTGCGGAATTTGTCGGTCCCAAGGGTTAAGGGTCTGTGTTAGAAGCTGCCCCCACCCTGTAATAGTGGTATAATAGGAATATAATAGGGCCCTAATATAATATTACTATAATCCTTATGGTCACTATTACAGGGGGGGGGCAGCTTCTAAGGTCTATGTTTGGCTCGGCATTTTTGGAATGCGTTGGTTTCGATAGTGGCTGCTTACTGTCCATCATCGGTTTGGGTGTTTTCTAATCTTCACTGGGTCTCAATTTCACAATCACGGCTTTGCAAGGCCTAGCCCGACATCCGAAATCCTACAAGCCATAAATCCCAAACTCGAGTCAGGAACGGTTGCCACAAGGACATCTACGACATCGGCGTGCCACCACCGGCCCCTGCAGCAGGTCGGCACATCTCACGAACGGGTTTCTGGTGGGGTTGCTTTCGGTTTTTCAGGGTTGGGTTTGTAAGATGTGCTCGGGTTTACAATCCGTATATTAGCATGTTCGTCGTTGTGCCCTCGGGCTCTTCTTTTCGAGTTATGACATTGCACTGAATTTGTCAATCATTTTGCAGCGCTATTGTGGTTCAGGGTAAGTTCGGGGTGCCTCGAGGCCTGTATGTACAGGATTGGTTTGTGTCGAACTTCTTTGGGCGGGGAAAGGTTGTGGGTGTTTGTCGGGAGGTTATGTCGATGTGCAGCCACGGCTCTCCGCATGAGAGTGTTTCGAAGAAACGAGCCCCTAATATGTACACCAACCAGATCGTTTAAGTATAGTGGCCAAGATAGTTACCAATACTATTTTGGAATTATAGTATAATCGGCCCCGCAACCTTATTCCAATCATTCAGGCCTCCATAGTCGCTGTATGGTCCTTATCGCGAGGATCTCGAATCACCAAGGGGTGCAAGAACTCGTCGAGCCTGTCGTGCATCGATTCCCCGCGTCTGTGTTTTCGCGTGCTTGGGGTCGAGGGGCATTAATCTCGACCTGTGGATCCGAAAACCTGCCGTTCTACCCTTTAACTATAAGGGGTCATGACTTACTATTTTGTTGGGTTTGGGGTCACAGGAAGAGGGTCTTGGGGCAGATTGTAGTTTAGCTAGTTTTGTAACAGGCAAAGTGCCGAGGAAGTCTAAGCGCTGACCCCGATAATTCCAATGGTAAAAGGATGGACCCTTAGTAAGGACCCTTAGGTATCTACCCGTAATAGAGCTATTATATGCCCATTATATAGCCCATTATTGAAAGTAGCCCCTATATAATCCCCAATAGCCGTCTCCACAACCCATTTCCCCATTCCCTACTAAGAACCAGACAGAAGATGAAGAGTATCCTTGCAAAAACATTCAAAAAGGAAGATACCCAGACCCAAAACGCAGTCCTTTGATGCCATGGCTACGGTTTAAGGGGTCTGGGACAGTAGTGGTTGCAGGTTGGAAGTTTTAGCACACGAGGGGCCCCATACTTTAGAGCGGGCAGTATGGTATATCATACTGCCTGCAAGGACTCGAAGTAAGGTGAAGCCTAGGCTGTTGTTGAGCCTCCGAATACTACTCGAGCATGTGGACGTAGTGAAATCATTCATTTATTCGTTCATTCAATCATTCAATCAATCATTCATTCAATCATTCATTCATCATCATCGTCGTCATCCTCCACGATTGAACTCTCAGATGGCCTCGGACCCCTGAAGCCTTAACAGCCTTAACACCTAAACACTTGCAAAGCCCGAAGCCCCTAACCCCCAATTCTACATCCGACCATAAGCCCTAAACCCTGAAGCCACAACCCTAAACCCTGAGCATCCCTTAGCCCCGAGCCCTTTCTCTGAACCCCAAACTCCCCGAACCCGCCCCATCAGGCAGCGAGCAGCTACTGACGCCGGAACACTTGGCCGAAGTTCCGCAGCGGATGCAGAAGCAGCTGCTGGGGGAAAGGCCGGGTAGCATGGGGATAGTCAGAATGGGATTACTTTGATTACTTGCAAGGGTTCGCTGAAGGCTTCTATCCCTAAGATGCGCTCCGGTGAATGACTTCGAAAACTTTGATTTGAACCGGCTGCTGGCAAGTCCCAGAGCATGCTGCAGAAGGGCTTCAGGCATTAGGGGCTCGGGGTTGAGGGTTCAGGTTGTTGATTTAGGTAGGGTTCAAGGCTGGGAATGTACTTAAATGTTCATAGCTGGGGGTTCTTCGAATTTTCAGGGGGAGTGCTCTGCATCGTAAGCTTTTATGGCCAGAGGCACCTTGTAGACCTGAACAGAAGTTGACGAGAAGAAGCCTCTCGTTTCCATTAAGGTAGCTGTCGTTCACACTCATACAACAGCATTACAACCTGCAAACAAAAAACTAAGCCTTACATTTCTTTGGTTAGGAAAAATGCCATATAGGAATTCACAGTACGAGAGCTAAACCTCAACCCCTAAACCCCTCAACCGTACTTCCAAGGGCTATTTGGTCCTTAATTTTTGAAAACTGCTAGAACGCCAAACCTTAAACCGCTAAGCCCTAAACCCTGAATCATTTAGAAACAATCTCGTATTTGAAAGCGGAGGCTCTATCCGCATGTGGCCAGAAGTCATCCGGAGATTGCCGGCAGGATTACCAGTCTCTTGCATGCACGTTTGGGAGAGGGGTTTAGGGTCGTGGGAGAGGGCTTCAGGGTTCACCGAGTCTAGAGTTTGGGAGAGGGCTTCAGGGTTCCGGGTTTTTCGAGTTTCAGGGCTTAGGGTTTAGAGTAGGGCCTTGACATGGGCTTTGAAGGATTCTTTCAACGTTTTGTTCTCAAAACGGGTTGGGCGGGTGTGGTTCGAAGTACCCAGCAGTTGAGTTCCAAGTCCAAAGTCCCAATAAGTAATCCGATAATCTCGCATGTTTTTGCGAAGCTTTCAGGCTTCCCTAAGGATCCATGTACTCATATAGTATATACATTGGCCTTAATGTAGTCCCTATATAGGTACTTTGGGGCTCATGTATCTCTATATGGGTACATGGACCCTTAGGGCTTCATGGCAAGATTCATCGGCCAACAGCACCGTACGGCGGCGGGCTTCGTAGTTTGGGTTTGCGGGACTTATACGTTACAAGGATTATAAGGTTTGGGATTTAGTTGTAACGCATTGCAAGGGCTCGAAATAGGCTTGGGGACCCTTGTTCGTCGATTGTTGTCCAGGGTCGGTGTTGCAATTCGGAGGTGACGCCCTCAACCAAACGCAAAAGACGTCGGGGATTTTGGCCTCAAATTTCCCGAAGTTCCTTCACCTTCGATACGCAGCACTTCTTGCGAAGCTTGAAGGCTAAACTAGCCCTTACTCTCGGCCACGAGGTATGTTGTTGGAGCCGGGGCCACAGACTGCAGATGCTGACTTGAGTGTTGAGTCTTTCATCGGTTCGGGTCTGAACTCTTTCTGAGGCACCCTAAACCCTGGCAAGAGTGGAGCTTTGGGATGCTGTCCAGTTCTGGTATGAGTACCTTGGCCTTCGTTTCCCAACACAGTAATATCCTGAGCCCTATATAAATCCGAAACCCTGAGCCCAAAACCCTGAACCCAAAAGCCTTAAACGAAAAGTGTCCATATGGCTATAGTTTCGCTCTGGCCTTGCAGCCATCTTAAGCGCTCCAGAGCCAAAACTGCACTACACCGTAAGACACTTAACCCCTCAAACCCTCAAACCTTAAGCCCACTCCAAAAGCCTGAACTGTATTCAAAAATTACCTCACAACTAGACTGTAGCCCTTATATATATATATGTATATATATATAGAGAGAGAGAGAGAGAGAGAGAGAGAGAGAGAGAGAGAGAGAGAGAGAGAGAAAGAGAGAGAGAGAGAGAGAGACTCGTCAAAGAAGTAGCAAGCAGACCCCATTCTGGTTTCGAAGACCCCCACACGGCCTGCTGGAAGGATGGAGCCCTACACCCCGCAAAGCTGAACCCTAAACCCTAAAGCCCTAAGACCTTCAACCCAAAACCCGAAAACACAAAAACAAATCCAAAGCTCTGTGTAAGGCCATAACCCCAAACCCCTAAAGGCCTCAAGCACAGAGCCTGCAGCCCTATTCCCAAACCACTAAAGCTCCAAAACCCCAACCCCCAGAGCCCTAAAGCCCAGAGCCTTCAGCCCTGGAAGACTGGAATCCAAGGGTAAAAGGAGGGACCCTTAATAAGGACCGGGGTCCCCATTAAGGGTCCCTCCCTTTCCACTTTGATATTGAGCAGACCCCATTCTGGTTTTGAAGCCTTCCTAGACCCCCCAACTACCTTTATTCTAGCCCCCAATTATTTCTTAATGAGAAATATCAGAGCCCTTTAAAGGGTACTTGGAGGGTCCTGGTTCAGCCCTGCAAGACTATAAGATTCATAATATAGATATAGTAGGACCTTAATAGTAGCCCTATTATAGACTCTTACTGTATGGGGGCGTACCTAACCCAGAGCCTTCAGCCCAACCTATACCCTATAATGCGCTATATAATGGGTACATAGTAGCTATATTAAGGGTATATACCTAGGGGTCCTTATTAAGGGTCCCTCCTTTTCCCCTTTGATGGAAGGATGGAGAACTCAGAAGTTCTGATGCTGCTGCAATCCGAGCAGCATCTGCAAGCAAAAGCACCTCGGCTCTGGGGTTTTGGGGCTTTAGGGTTTTAGGGTTATTAGGGAGGGTTTTAGGGTTATTAGGGTTCGAGGGTTATTAGGGTTTAGGGCTTTAAGGTTTTGGGGTTTGGGGGCTTTAGGATTTGAGGGTTTAGCGTTTTAGGGTTATTAGGGCTTTGGGGCTTTAGGGCTTTTGCGGTTTAGAGGGCTGTAAGGTTTTAGGGTTTGGGCTTTAGGGCTTATAGCTTAGCGTTTCGGGCCTCAATCAGGTTTGAGCGGGATCTTGCCAGGAACTCTTATGGTTCAGGGTTATGGTGTCGGATCTGAGAGTAGCATTCGCGTGCCGTGGTCGTGAGACTCTTGCGGCGGCCACCAACGCACAGCCGTCCAAGCCCAGCAGCCGGCGGGCAGGGTTTTAGATTGTCCGTTGCGAGCTCTTGGAAGACAACGGCTGGAGGGGCAACTTTCTCGGGTTCCTGGTTCCTGGTGGTTGACTTAGGTTCGCTGGGAGAGTCCTGCGTCAGGTTATGGGCCGAACCATGCCAACAACCCTTCCATAAACGGTCACAGGCCGCGGAACACTCTAACGGCTTTAACCTTAAGCCCTATAAGGCCTAAGGTGGCGTTTGCACACGGGAACGAGCCGATTGAACAACCCCAAATGAAATCAAACCCAGGCTCTTACTAGGGGGAGGTGCCCGAGTGTCGTTCTTGGGCTTGTGGGCCCTGCAGTCCCACTGGGTTTAGGGGTCCCTAAATCCTAGTCCCACAACCTTTGTGAAGGTCGTGAGAAATCCGAAGGCCTTAACCACACAAGCCTACACCCCTGACCCTTGCCCTCCCCCGTAAGCTTCTAACCCTGAACAAAAGCTTTCTTTGCTAAGGTAGACGAAGCAAGGCGATTGCTCGAGCTGTACAGCAATGTGCCTCGTTCTCCCATGATTAAGGTTTCCGGGCCTTCAGGTTTAGGTTCAGGGCTTATGGGGTTTATGCATTCAGGGCTGTTGGTTAGGGGTTTGGGTAGTGTAGGGCTTGCATAAGCTCCAGAGGGTCAAGGTTATCCAAAGCTCCAGGTTGTGCAATATGTGCAATAATCTATAGTTTATAAGCCCTTCAGAAGGGTGTGTATAGGGTTTTTGAGGGTCCAAAGTACAGAAATTGTTGGGTACGTGGTGCCAGGCAGTACTGTTGTTCAACGGTTGGTAGAATATTGTTGTTAGGTTCTTGGACCTCTAACCTCTAAATACGACGCTTAGGTTGATATTATTTGCTAAGTTCGAGGGTGATTGTTCTCATCCCCAGAGAACCCTCATTATACCTCTCCATTCGGTGTATGAGTGTGTGTCTTGTCCTTGCGGACTATTCCTCAACTGAGCTTTCCAGATGCTGCGGGATGCTGCCAGAGGGTGAGGCAGCTCACCGCCTGCTCCTGCCGCCAGCAGAATGCCGTGCTAAACATCCGCTCCATCCTCAAGAAGTTCCGAAAGCATATGTAAACTGAAGAAGCCTTGAACTGCGGCATGCGCTACACGTCGGGAACCCCGAAAATTATCGCATGTAATGTGCGCAGGCATTAAACAAGTTCGATACCTTAAATCCCAAGTCCCCAAAGCCCTAAACCCTTGGTAACGTGCTAAGGTGAGTCCGCCTGTGAATCCCGCTGAAATTGCGGGACAGCCGCCGGAAGTGCAAAGACAGTACTTTGGAGAGAGGCCTGTCAGGGTTAACATTGGTGTCGGCAAGATTATACAGTAGCTCCTATGCTTATATGTGTATATATGTATATATATATATATATACATACACACGTACATGCACGCATGCATACATACATGCATGCGTACATGTATATCTACGAAATGTGGTGTTTCAAAGTCAGGTTTAGAGTTTTGACTATGGTATCATGGTACCCGAGGCAGGGTTTCCCTTATTAGCGCCCCCTTCATGTTTCATGGGGTGTTGAGGCCTTTGTGCTTTTGTACTGGTTTCTGTCAACAGTTCGGGAGCACCTGAATGAACACTGAACCTGGTTAATAAATCTTAAAGCCCTAATTGGTGTTGGTTTCTGTCGTTGGGTATTGGCAGTCTTTTTGGGGGGCCAGAATCACCTGTTTAGGCGCACAGTTTCTGGAACTTAATGATCAACACTTGTCATATCAGAGTCATGTCCATGAACGTTTAGAGTTTTCACAAAGCCGCAGCAGCTCCATGCCGGGGGGATGCTAAGCATCAGCCCAAGTGGGTCCTAAACCGCTGCACAGACAGTGCAGCCTCCTGAACAAGCTGGTCATCAGAGATTTTCCGAGCATTTCATGGCCGTTTGTCCCAGCATTTGAGGCAGGCGCCTGACGCAGAGAGGGAGACCCTAGCTCCAGTCACATCGCTACACCCGAACACGTCATCCCTCCCAATGTCGAAACCCCAAGCTTTGCTACCGAAGCCCCAATCACCCTCAAGTCAAACCCCCTCGAACACAAAACCCTACACCCTGAAAGCCTCCTCAACTCTTCTTGCCAGCAGGCTTTATCCTCGAGTGGCCAGATACCAACCTGAGCTTGCTGGGAAAATCACCGGTCTCTTGGCACATCAAGCTAGCGCCTTACGGCCCCGAGTCTGACCCCAAACCCTGACGTGAAGTCGAAATCTCTATAAGCCCTAGAGCTAACAGTAGTGAGAACTCAACATGCTCGGTCCAGATTCTGGAACCAGTAGACTTTCTTGAGAGCGTATATTTGCAGGGGTATTTGCAGTGTTTCAGGGTTTGGGGTTTTGGTTTGCGAGTGTCACACCTGAGAGTTCGGAGTTTCATTTAGAGCTTGGCTTTCAGGGTTTGGGGCTTCAGGGCCGCAGATTTTGGATAGGGCCACGAGCTTTATTTGTTTAATTTATAGGACCTCAGCGTACACGAGCTGGCAAGTAGGTTTTGGTGTTTCTATACTCTTTTCCCTAAACCCTAATTACTCTGAGCACCTTACATAACCCGCATAGTCTTTGTATATGATCCAACAATGTTCCCTCAAGGGCCCACCACCAGAACCCTAAACCATATTGTTTAGGGCTGCAGAGTTAGGAGTTTTACAGCAGTGAAACTTAGCTTAGCTCCTGTCTCGGACCTGCAGGCCGAACTGCCCCAAAACCCTAAAGCCCTAAGCCTTCAACACCTGCACACAAACCCCCAAAACCCTAAACCCAAAACCCTGAACCCCAAAGAACCCTAAAGCCGTAAAGCTCGAAACACCTGAACCTTAAATCCCAAAGCTTAAAGTTTGCTGACTCGGAGCTGAGGCATGCTTCTGGGGCCGGGCACCCGGGGGGATTTCTGTTTAAGGACCCGAGGGCAGAGGTCTGTTGATTTTTGGGTTCAGGGTTTAGGGCTGGGTTTACTATTCTTTTGTTGGCTATGACTTCGCAGTTTGAAGTGCTTGTGTTCTGGTGCTGCAATAATTCCTGATTACGGGTCCCTCCTTTTCCCCTTTGACCGAACTCTAAAACCCTGTAGCCCCTGCAGGCTCAAACCCGCAAGCCCCAAAAGCTTCTCATACCCAGATCTGGACCCTGACTCCCAAAACCTGAACCCTAGGTGGCCGCACCCCAAAAGAAGTAGCGCAACACAATTCCCCATAGAAGCGCATACTGCACCGCAAACATATCCCCAAACCCCGGAATTCCTTCCCAAAGCAACTCACGAGGTTGGAACCTACCCCCCCGGCCCACAAACCTAAACCCTGAACCCAAAATCAAAGGGGAAAAGGAGGGACCCTTAATGGGGACCCCTACCCTATAATGGGCTATATAATGGGTATATAATAGCTGTATCAAGGGCATATACCTAGGGGTCCTTATTTAGGGTCCCTCCTTTTACCCTTGGACAAAAGACCAAAAGACCATGAGGTTGGAGAGACATGAACTCTTGGAGGTCTTTGAGAGTGAGCAGATGTTGCAGTCGAAGGCCCGGACCAAAGGGCTTTTAACTTAGGGTTACTTAGAAATGCTTTTTAATTTTTGGTTATTATAATCCCTAAGAAACAGCTAAAATTATAATTGTTGCTAGGGTTCTAAGTTCGGTATAGATAAAACTGTTTAAGCTGTAGGGTTTCGAGCTCTAGGTCTTTGTGAGTTGCTTCAGGGCTTGTATACTGTTATGCACATTCATAGGTTGGGTTTTAGTGTCTTGGGGTTTAGGGCTTCAGGACTTACGGCGGTTTAGGACTTGGGCATGACAGGTTGGGTTTGCTTGTTTTGGGGTTTGTTGCTTTCTACTTAAACTCCAAGCAGCACGCGTGTTCCGTTTGTTGTTTCGGGATTCCCCGTGAAAGCTGGGAGCAGGAAGTATAAGGTGTTCTATTCTATAGGTCTCTCAGACTCTGCAAGGGTATAACTTGTTTAGCTGGTCGGTGTCGTCTTATGACTTTGCGAAGGTTGTATGTGAGAGTTTGCAGTCTTCATGGCAATGTATCTGCCAGGTTTCATGGGGGTTTACGGTTCAGGCTCAAGGCCTCAGAGCTTGTGGTCATTAGTCTCCAGGCTTAAGGGCTGTCCTCTAAACCCAAAGAGTTGTAGGGATTTCTCACCCTCGAGTTGTGCACTTGTGCGGCGTAGTTCAAGGCGGGCCAAGGTTTGGGAGCTAAATCGCAGCCTCACGAAAACGGCTTCGAAGTCGGCTGGAGCCATCGTGTGAGAAGTCATCTCGGACAGCGAAGGAGAACTTGATCCACCAGGGTAGGTACTCAATGGTAATACAACCTAAACTTTACACATATGTTTGGTTACCAACGGGGGAACCTTAACCTTTTTGGCCTTATATATTTTCTCTATCTTGGAAAGTTTGATTTTTTTCGGGCCTGGTTGTTGAAGAAGAGAGGATATTATGACCTACAGCTGCTAATTTCCTAAGACATCCCAAGCAGAAGAAGTACCTGATTGGTGCCACGATTGATTTACTCGCCCTAGTGGAGGTCGAGGAGGCTCGCCGAATCATCCTCTTGCACGTCGACGAAGTGGCTCCTCCTTGCACTGCAGCTGACACATGATTGCAATATGGATTGTAAATGGTGCTACTACGGTGTAAGTACAGATTTGGTGGATACTTACAGGAGAATCCTACTCTCGAAGCCGATCCTTAGGGTATTGAAAGCTTGTTGGAACTGCAACTGTTCACATCTAAGCTATGCTGAGCCCAAAGCACTCAATTTTGACTCCCTAAGCCATCCTTACCCAACAACCGCCAAACTGCACATCAGAATAGAAACCTAAATCCTATCCCTAACCCTAAACGGCCCCAAACCCTATACCCCCAACCCACAAACCGTAACTCTCAATCGTCAACTAGGTGGTTGTCAAAATTATGGTCCCTTTTTGGATCCTTAATATAATACGGCACCTATTATTTAGGGTACCCAAAAATGGACCCTAATTTTGACAACTATCCAACTGGAGACCAGAGCCAAGGAACTAGCGGAACAACCGCCGGAGCTGCAAAAGCAATTTCTCGGGGAAAGGCTGGCTGGGTAAGGTAACCGAAAGACTACAGAGCACAGGGTTTTGGATTATAGGGTTTAGGAACTACTAATATCCTCTTATAGTGCTGATTAATTTAACCGGCCAGGGCCGCGGGCCGTTATGGCTATGCTAAGTTTCCAAAAGACCACAAAAGATGTAAACAAGTCTATCTACAATCGCGGATCTCAGGAAATGGCCGTGGGATCTTAAAAAGGGGAGATTGTTTAGAGGTTCAGTGTGTGTTTGTCGGTGTGGCAAGAAGATGTTGAAGATGGTTTCAAGGGGTGTAGGGCTCTAGGTCTTAGTAGCTGGTTTGACAAGCCTGAGATGAGATGTTGTTCTTGTTGCTTACAAACAAAGTCCATCCATGCTTGAAATATTTGACAGGGAACTTCACATCAGCAGGTAGAGGTTCCGCTGAGGTTCATAGGTTTTTTGGGTTCGAGCTTCAGGGCTATAGAGCTTTTGGAACTGATTTGTGTCTTGTTTATCTTTGTTTTGCGCTTCATATACTTGGGTGGTTGTCAAAATTAGGGTCCCTTTTTGAGTCCCTATTATAATACGGCACCTATTAATTAGGGTACCCAAAAAAGGGGCCCTAATTTTGACAACCGCCCACTTTGGTCTGTTGCCAGCGATCCCAGCCACTGTTCCGGCCCGGCTGTAGGTCCCCGAAGGCCCCAAACCCTCCCGGTGAACTACGAGCCTACCTGGACGTTAAGGAACCTGCCTTTTTAGGGTTCCCTAATATGACTTCTTTATATAAGTCCTGAAAAAGGTAGGTTACTTGGGGTTAAGGTAAAGTTTTCAAGAGGCGTAATGTGGGCCTTTGTCAAACATTGATGTGTTGGTGCAGACCTGGATGACAAAATCGCCGGGAGCACCACGACGTCGATTCATACCGACTCGTTGTTGTCTGGGGGAAGCAAGACCAGCAGAACAGAGACTCCAGCAGTAGAAGCTGGAAAAGAGACCGCGGCACCGCAAGAACAGAAGTTCAGCCGCGCCTGTGGGTTTAGCCGTAAGGATTCCCGGCTCAGAGCTTGAAGGCCTAAGCTTTCTTAGGCTTTAGGGATTAGGGTTTAGGGTTTAGGTCAAGGTCTAGGGTTTGGGGCTTCGGCAGCGTGCTGGCTTCTCAGCTATATCTGAGCAGGAGTCAGGCTACCACCAGGGACATGGAACCATGGGGATCATCTTACAACCCTGATTCGTTCGGTTGTTCTGGAGTCATGTCTTCTCGGGACTTTTCGGATACTGACCGTACACAATTCAAAAAAGGGCACGAAACGGTTGGAATACTCGGAGCTTGGGATTCGGAACTGAAGGAAACATGGTACATCGTGACAAAAATCTGCCATTCGGGATGCCACAGTGGTTCAACCTAAAAAAACCCTAAACCCCGCAACCCTAAACTTGCGAGAGAGGCTCTTTCCACGAGTGGCGTACCACCAGCCGGTGCTGGCTGGCAAAATTACTGGATCCTCGGTTGCAGATTACGGTGTATTTAGGACTTTAGGGTGTAGGGTTTAGGATCAGGGTGTCGGCTGTCTTCCAGAGCGGAGACTTTTCAATCCCAAGCTCCTAGCATAAGCCCTGTATTACTGTTGGACTCGCAGCTGTATAACCGCAGCCCCAGCGCCCCTCGTGGGATGATCGTAGGATGACCAGACCAGCGCCTTCGTGTACGGTACTGCGCTATTCCTCAGCTTCCCCTTTTCAGCCCTCGACCCCAAAACCTTCGTAACGTAACACTCTGCACCCCAAAAACCGAATTCCTGACCCGAGACCCCATAGACTCCACGAGCTAGCCATTGCGAACCCTGAATTCGGGCGTTCATCCCATCCACCGTAGAATCAGACATCTGTTTTAAGAAGCAAACCCCGCGCCGCTTGGAGAACTTGAACGGTTAAAAGCTCAGAAGCGGAACACCCTGCAGCAGCTAATTCGGAAATAAGAGTTTATAGAGTCTGGGGCTTCGCATTTCAAGGTTTAGCGCCGCGACCTTGCACAAATCTGTACACTCAGCTGGTCATTCGTTGCTAGGCAGAAGCGTTATCGGTTTGGGTTTAGGGTTTATGAATCCTGGTTCAGGTTTGTGGATCTTGATTCTGATACACTGCTGCAGCCCTGAAGCCAGATTGCCAGACAAGCGCTGGCAGCTGGTCAACCAGTGTACGACAAGTAAAGTATAAAGTGGACGAAACAAGTCTTGCCAGACAAACCGGCGCAGCGTCCCTCATCCCTAAACCACACACTCTGAACTCTGAACCCCAAACCCTGAGGCCTCATCACCCTTAGACTATAAGCCCTCAACCCTCAAAGTCGGAATACATAACCGTGAAAAATCACAAAATATTTCTTACGCATCCTTTTTCTCAGCATAGGTAAGTTAATATCCCCCCAGAACCGTACTCTGGTACTTCAGGCCCCTGAGCTAAACTCTTATCGCAAGCCTTACACAGAAACCCTTTTGGAATCCTTTAGAGGCCCCCTTGCCCTCATCTTAGTCTTAGCCAGCCCTTGCTATCGCACCTTCAACAGAACGCCAATTCAATTTCTTCACGCCCTTACAGAGCCACCCCTGAAGATATTGTCTCTCGGAGATCCAAGGCACGCTGCTGATGGAGCGGGGGCCACAGCACGAGAGTTCTTGGGGTCGTCGGGGTTAACCGACCAAGTGCTTGGTAGCCATATAAATTCGGAAATACTAATCTTTGCTTGAGGTTTTATACGGGTTAAGAGTGCCAGAGATTGCCGGGCTTAAGGAGCTTTGGGGCTTAGTGTTGCGAAACCTTCGTGTTCAGGCTTCTCGAGCCTTACACTGCCAGCAAGGCTTGTGCAGCAAATGTCGGATTGAAGGGATTGGGTGCGGGTGTTTTCGGTCACCCGGGGGACCTAACCAGGTTGGAGAGAGCTGAGACTTACCCTTTTGTTTCCTACTTGAGGTAGCCCCTAATTCCCCACCTTTGGCTCCCGCATGCTTTAAGCAGCCTTGTTTTTGTTTATAGATCTCCCAAAACGAGTTCGTGCTGCCAAGAGGCCAGGAGATTATGCTAAGCCTCATGCTCGAATAACGAGTAGTTTTTTACCCCAAAGCCTGGATCCTTAAGCCCTACTATAATGGCCTATTCTATTTCTAGTATAAAGGACCCGAAAACCATATTCTAATTATTAATGCCCCTTTATTGGATCCCCTAGATAGCGCAAAGCGCATGAGCCTGTGGATCCCACTCTCACACCGAAGTTCTTGTAGGCATGGGCACCTGCACCTGAACTACGGTTGATGATATGAATCCTGCATTATCTTAAGGACCCTATAAACGATGGGAATTATGGTATATTCCCCATTATGGGTAATGCAGATTTATATCATCAACAGTAGGGGTTCACGCTTTAGGGTAGCGCCGAGCAGCGAGACCCTAAACCTTGCTGAACACTCGAAAGGGACATCTGCATATATGCCCAGTTCTTCGCCTTCTCTTGATTGACATGGGAGTTTCCGAAAATAGGGGGCCCTAATATAGTACCCTAATTAGTAGGATCCGTATTATAAGGACCCCCAAATAAGGTACCTCTGATTTTCGGAAACTCCCACATGCTTCATACACATTATCTGGCAAGACTCCCAAACCCTCGGCCTGAAGCCCTTAAACCCACCGCCCCCCCCCCCAAAACGGCCCAGGATGACGAATGAAGACCTCATGGAGCTGTTAAAGTCCAAAGAGATGCTCCTAGAGCAGGCTTGGCCGTTGAGGGGGCTCTCTCATAGGGACCCCTTAGGAGAGGAGGTAACGGGTACAGTTTGGGGCTAGGGTTTAGAGGAGAGTGGTAGAGGGGGCTCTCTCAGAAGGGCCTTTCAGATAGGGGGTAATTAGGGACCTTAATGCCTCGAATAAGGGCCCTGTGACATGATAATGATGGCCTGCTTAAGGAAGTATAGTCCCCTACGGCCCTCGCGCGAATCGAACCGCTCACCCCAACTGCCTTGGTTTGTGATTGCCTGTGTTTTATGCGTTGCGTGCAATACTCACGGTATTGCTTTTCAGGTATGTCATGCGTTTCAGTGTGATTCAGTGATTGACGGTTTCTCAAGAACGGCTTATTGCCGTGTTTGATGACGTTTAGGTTGCAGATTTTGGAATCTGGGATCCCAAATGAAAGCTGAAAGCAACCTGGCCCCGTAAATGTCTCGAAACACACACCCCATTCCCCCGCGACTGCATGTCAAAAAGCTACCCTGCTAATCCAGTTTCTTGAGTCATTCCTGGGTTGTTGTTCCCGTGAACCTTGCTAACCAATTTGCTACTCCTTCAGCCTTGAAGACCATGTAGCGAGCAAGTAGGCAGCAGGGGCACAACTAAGCAAACTTCATAGCGAGTGAGTATGTAACAATGCAGTAATACCCGTAGCCCCGTAGCCTACTACAGAGGGTGCTAGGCTTCGAAAGACCCTTCAGCTTCAATCACTTCATACCTTGAAAATCAGACCTGATAGCTTCAGAGCATCATGGACCACAACCTAGAGCCCGAAATAGTAGTACCGTAGTCCCCAAGGGCACCTAAACCTTGGACTCTAAACCGTCAATATAGACAGTCATATCCTTAGTCTAATGCAACTAAACGAGAATGCCCCCCCTAATATTCAATAGAGTCCTAAGCAGCGGTATCCTTGTAGTAGCACCGAAAAGCGTGTAACCCTGGATGCTGTTCCTCCTGAACCTTAGACCCTAGACCTTAAAACCTAAACCCTAAACCTCACTCAACCCTAAACCCTAACCCTAACCCATTAAGTCTTAAGTTCAGGTCAACGAGGCACGGCACGTCATCGAGGAGAACGCTGGCATCGCGGGGAAACCGCCCGCGGTCCAGAAGCAGATCATTGGGGAGAGGCCCGGTGCAGGGTTTAGGGGATGTTTGTGAGAGAGGCTTCGGTTTGGGGCTCGGGGTTTAGGGTTTAAGGTGTAGGGTTCAGGCTTTAATTAGAGTTGAAGGGATGTGGTTCGAAGTAGCTTAGATGTTTGGGGAGAGGCTCGGAGCAAGACCAATACTACAGTAGTAGTGCCAAGAATCTTAATAAGGGGTATATGAGGATCGTGTCCATCAGCAACAGTGAACAGAACAATAATAGCAATGACACTGAAACCCAACAACCAAAGCAGACCATTGAACATACGCTTGGGATTTCCAAGCAAAGGTAGGCATCTCCCGAGCCGATTTTGTTTTTCAGGTGTTGGGGTTTGGGTTTGGGGTTTATGGTTATGGTTGGGCCCTGAGTCTAGTGAAGGAGCTACTGGGCATCTTGGATGTATGGTGGTGCTGAGGATTCAGGGTATTCCAGGCAAGGATGTGGGCTTTACAAGGAAGGCGAACCAATGAGCCTGTAGAACGCGTGCGATTCTGCTACGGTTGTCTTTTGGGTTTCGGGTTGAGGGTTTTCGAGTTTTCGGGTGTCGCACATCGTTGGTGTAGTACAGGTGCCTAAATCATTTCCAAGTGTCTTTTGAGATTTCTTAGTATGTTTATAGTACAACCGAAACCCAAGCCCATTTCATGTATTAACACACTTTCTGGTAACCCTCACAGGACCCTTTTTCAAAGCCTTATTCTAATTGTTGAGGCCTCTTTCCGTAGGGTTTAGGCCAGCGGCCAGAGGCTTTTTCCGCAAGTGCTCCAGTACTACCCTCTGCTGGCTGGCAAGCTCACCGGAGCCTCGTCCGCACGTGGGGTCTGAGGGGTTTAGGGTTTTGGGTTTAGGGTTTCGGGTTAGCGTTTACGGTGTAGGGGAGGGTAGTGAAGTGTCAGGTTCCTGCTTACAAGTACCCAAACCCTTCGAACCAGTATTTGGAGGCTGAGTAGGCAGCCTGTTGTGGTACTCAGTCTCCAGCGTGGCTCTCCCACCACAACTAAACAACAACTAGACCCCAAGCAGGGCCCTTTCAAAAAGGATCCCGTCCATTCAATTCCAAACATGGGCACTTAACATAATATGGATGCCACTTTTTGGAGTCAGGTCAGAACAAATGTCGACATTAGGGTCCATAGGTTAGTTCAACTCTCGGTATCCACTCTCTTTCACATGACGAAACACTCTCGGAACCCTCAAAGCCCACCCCCCACAGTCATACTGTTCCGGAAAGCCTTTCCCTTGTATGCAGCTTCACCCCTAAACCTCTGCAGCATCGATCTGTCCGCCCTACAGGCCCGAAATCTCCATGTCACCGGGCTTTCCGAACCGACCCGTTTTGATTCAACAAGGACCGAAAAGACAGCAAGAGAGCAACTTTGTGGGCCAACTCTACACCCGGAACCCAAATCCCCTAAACCACTAAAGCCCTAAACCCCTGAATCCCTAAACCCCTAAACCCTAAACCTCTAACCCCCTTGTATATATCCGTTTTAGATGGCTTATCTGGCCCTTGCACGCCCCTTTAAAGGAATCCCGATAGATCCCTTACAAAGCCCTGGTTGGGAGCCTGAGGTATGATGCTTGAGCCGCGGCCCGAGCTGACCTTGGGGTTCAGGCTTCCACCAAGGAGTCTGTACAGGTGGTTTCAGTATGCTTTGGGGTTTAAGTTAGGTTTAGGGTTTAAGTTAGGTTTAGGGTTAAAGTTAGGTTTAGGGTTTAAGGTTTAGGGTTTAGGGTTCTATGAACGAGTTCCTAAGTATAGAGGGGTCATGTATGCGGCCTCAGTACTTCGAAGACGGTTTTGGCGTTTCTTATACTATGGCTTACCGGGAACCCTAAAGAATAATAGTACTTTTTTTCAGGCTTCAGCATTTGTAGCTTGGGCCCGCTCTTTTAGGCTTAGACGGTTGACACTGGCAGGGTGTGGGAACTTGCTGGGGTTCTGAACTTACCGTTGATCCGGGGTTCAGCGTTTGGCCTATAGGGCGTAGAGATTGAAGCAAAAAGCAATCCAGTGAAGGGAACCATAACCTCAAAACCCAAACAAGGCAAAAATGCTCCACGCAAAGTGCCCCCAAAGTCCGATAGAAAGAGCCCTCAGGCCGACAACTGCCAAGAGGAAGCCCCTTCCTTGAAAGACCGCAGAAGAAAAGAAAAACCCAGAAGCTCAGAACTCACCCGGACATCCCCAGGTAGCCTTTCCTTGCGGTCTTCAATAACAGTGCTGTGGAAAGTATACCAAACCGCAGCCTGGGGGATACTACATGGGCCTAAATATTTACCAACGCTATTTTGGGGGTTCCTTGTTATAAGTATAGTATAGTGGGCCCAAAACACCATTCTAATTATTAAGGCCCTTATACTAGGCAAGCTGCGTACTATCCGGACCACATTCTGCAGTAGAGGAGTATAGGACGCCGTAGCGATGGCAGAGCTTCATGCCCCAGAACCCTGACCTGACCCCCCAAACCTCAAAGCCCATGTTTGGCATAAGACACTGCAGCCGTCCGGACCTTGCGAAACCTTATCCCCGAAGCTGTTTTTGGGTTCTGCTCTGTTTAAAGAGGGATGTTCAGAAAATCTGAACCATTAGTATGGGCTACAAGGAGGGTCCCGGTACAGGCAACCCTAAATCCTACACACGCATTCCTGGTATAGTTTGAAGCACAGAAACCTACTTGTTTGGTAGTATCCTCATAATTACAGTCAATATCGGTGTGTATATTGGAGACCTACCAACAAGGAGGCTACGGTAGTGTTCATGACTGTTAAAGGAGAGTCGCAGGAGGGTAGTTGTCAAAATTAGGGTCCCTTTTTGGGTCCCTATTTTTGTTACGGCACCTAATATTTAGGGTAACCAAGAAGGGGACCCTGATGCTGACAACTACCCAGGATGGATAACTCCGACCTCTTAGTTCTTCTGGATTCTCCCCAGCTCTTGAAGGACAAGGCTCCGCTTGCCTGCCCTGCGGGGCTGAGAAAAGGGTTCGAGATGATTAAGAAGAGTTGTTTATTTGCTTTAAACGGGCTCAGGGTTGTTGTAGCTGTAGGGCAACTGTGGGGATAGATGGTTCTAAATTCAGCAGATGGGTTAACCAGAGCTAAGGATGCAGCCTTCCTCATCGGATTCTATCTATATATATATATATATGTTTATGTATTTATATAGGGTTCTATAGGATTAGGAATCTGTGGGGGTTGTAGTAACGTCCCGTTATAGCCCCCTTGCAAAATTGCAAGACAACGTCCTCCATAACTCCATGCTATTCGTTAATGCCGCTTCAACACCCACTAGTGCCTCACCCAGACTCCTCTGTGCTGCGGGCTGAACCTTTTAGATCGTTTAATCAGTTCTGAAAAGCCACGGATCATTCCGTACTGTATAGGGTTTGAGATGTAGGGTTTAGGCCGGGTTTAGGTGGTTGGGGCCTAGGGTGGCCGTAAGGTTGAAAGGTAGTCTTTTTCATGTCAGACGGAAGGGCCCCTGATTCAAAACGGCTTTAAAGAAAGGCGGGGATGATTTCAGGGGGATATCACGGAAAGTGTTTTTGTCATCAGATGGGTGTTTAATACATGGGGGAAGCGACTAAATACTCACAGTAGCTGCTTCCACCCACACATCGATGATCGACATATTTCGGGGAGACATAACTGGGGAGGATGCAGAACCGCATCTGGGGTAGTGTAAATCCAAGGGTAGAAGGATCGACCCTTAATAAGGACCTCTAGGGCATATACCCTTCATATAGCCACTATATACCCATTATATAGCACATTATAGGGTAGGGGTCCCCATTAAGGGTCCCTCCTTTTCCCTTTTGAGTAAAATAGACTGCTCGAACGTCTGTTCTTCTCTTCTGGGCATCTGCGTCTGGCAGCAGCATCTAGTCTTGAACTGGGGAAAATGTTGCGGTTTCGGGTGTAGTGTTTAGAGAGAGATATACGGCATTTGAGCTACCAGAACCCTATCCGTCAGCTTGCCATGCCACTCAGCCCCAAACCCTAAACCCTAAACTTCGATCGTCTGAAGCCTTATATACTACAACCAGGTATCAAGCTTCCGGAGTGAATAAGGCACAAGAGTATGCTTGGCTTCAGACTTACGGTGCAGTGGTACCTGGGGCTTGCCGGGATTGTCGGTTTGCCGCGTTGAGTTCTCTAGGCGAATCTTCGCGTTAGCCTTACACCCTAAACCTTAAACTATTAGTGCTCTTATGATTAAGATGTAAGCAAAGGTTTAACGAGATCGAAGGATTCAGGTGTGGTCCAGTTGCCCCCAACCCTAAGGCCACAAAACCTAAACCCCAACCTCTACACCCTTACAGCCCCTGCTCGGAAGCGTTGAGTCCAGGCCTCCGAAAACCCCAGTACCTCACCCGAGGGGTCCGAATAGCTCTGAGTCATAGATTCATTCTCAAAAGGCTTACCCAGAGTGACAACTATCGTGAACCCAACTACCTAATCGGAGTCCATCTTTCAGCGTAGAGGACTCGCGCACAGCACCTTTGTTACGATTTTACCGGACTTGAAATTGACTTTCGTGTAACCGTAGGCGGCACGTTGGGGAAACCCATGACAAGTCTTCGCCAATTCCACAAGAACCATGATCAAGACCTAGGAAAGCTACCACAGATCGAAGGAACGATCCTCACAAGTCTGTTTCGGCTTTTCAGGGGGCCCACGGATATCCTGATCCTTGAAACCTTAGTCCCCGACAAATTGAAAATCCTTAAGATTAAATCCAAGAACCTCAAGCCAACGCATTTCGAACCAAAGCTCGGCACCCCAAACACGCAATACAGCTCCCCTTATATGAAGCAGCCACCCATAGACACCCTGTAAAACGCCACGAAATCCAAGATAGAAGCCCCAAACCTATCCTGCAGTGGAGGTGGAGGAGGCCAAATTGGTGTTGGACACGACATGCGGCTGGGTGCAAAAAGTCCTAGTAAGGTGGCATCTTGGGACTTGCAAATTCACAGTTCCCATAGGCTTCTTTTGGAGGCACATTTTCATCAATGCATTTGGGGGCCCTATATGCCATGCCTTTTCTCGACCAAGGCGGACCGGACGCCCACCTCCTCACTGATGAGCTGCTGCTGCAGGCACCGAACTCTCCGGGTTTCCGGTCTGGTTCAGGCTGTGAGGTTTGGTTTTGCGGCTAGGCTCTATACATGTTCAGGTTCATGAAGTCGCTTGTCAGACGCTTACCGGGTATATATGCAAGGTATCATAGCGTTGACAAGCTCTTCTCCCCACCCTTAAACCCTAAACCGGATACTAAGCATGACTTTCAGACCTGTGCCAGAAAGAAAGGCAAGGGATCGCGAGTCGTGTGAGCCCATGCCGGCAATCCTAGGTATCTGCGAAAAGCACCTTTTCTGCTTGGCTTGATCTTATAAACGTGTTCTGCATACTGTATCCTGCCATGATGATATAGAGATCTGAAAATGTTGTGTTCGTAGTTTCGAGACTCGCAAGAACATGCCCTTTTTGCTCCGAACAAGGCTACTTTGATTCTGAAGGAGGGTTGCAGGAACTCTGCTCTAGTCATTAAGGCCCTTGTAGGTAATTGTTCGTTTTGTTGGTGTATGTTCAGAAATCAGGAAGTAGGAAACCTTCAAGCCTTCAAGGGTTCCGTTTGAAAGCTCCATTCGGGGCTCGATGATGAGTCACTATTCAGTACCCCAAGTCAATTGATTGTCGTATCGCTGTGCGTTTACGTTTCTATAATATAAGGACATTCTGCAAGAATCAGTATAGGGGTCGCTTTTAGCCCCGTATGCCAAGCTCACTGCCAAGATTCGGGTGTATACACGGATTCAGTTGGTTTGAGTGAAGGCGCGCTCAGGTTTAGGGCGATGCTGGACCCTTGATTCCCTGCGCTCCAAGTTATGATATAATTAAGACTGAACCTAAACACAAGCTTTGGTGCGGAGGCGGAGCAGCCCTTTGCCGTGCTTTGGCAGCAACAATGACCCAATGCGCATGTGCTTTGAGCATCCCAGGATTCTGTCAAGGGTTCGGTTGCCGTTGAGGCTTCCTTTCATCGTTCCCTTTTTCGGGTTCCTACACGGGTTCTTGAGGCTTCTGATGTTGTAGGGTTCTTCCAGAAACCCAAAGTTCTTTGTATGTGCAGTTGGACACAAGTATTCCCACCCATCTGAAAATCTGGGAACCTATCTAGAAGCATCTGGCAGCAAGTATGCAAACCCGAAGCCGAAAGCCTGAACCCTAGAATCCTAGAACTCCTATAAGAACCTTCACAACTCTTTACAAGTATTCAATTACCTTAACCCCCCCCCCAATTAGTCCAGACATCTTTGGCAGCCGTAGTCCTAAGCCCTACACCCTGAACGACCTAGGCCCCAAACGACATAAACCAGCCTAAGTCCTCTGCAGCCTAAACTGAACCCGAAAGCCTAAAGCCTAAACCACACTTTTGCATCCCCAGAAAACCCCAAGCCCTAAGCCCTAAAGCCCCACAACTCTGTCAAAGCCCTTCACGGAGCCTGCGCCCTAACCCTGTTGAGCCCGTTTACCGCCGCGCCCAGGACCTCGAAGCCCTCGAGAATCCATGAATAGTAGCCCCTGTATTTTTTGAAGGGGTCCTTTTTGCAGCCTTTGAAGCAAACCCTTTAAGGAAGCTCCTAAACCTAAAACCCTATACCCGAAAGACGCCCTTCAACCCTAAACCCTTACCAAAACCATTAAAGGATCCCTTAAGGGATTCCTTTAAGAGAGGGACCCTTCGGGGTTCCTTTAAGGGATCCTTTTTCGGCTCCGTTTTTTAGGGATCCCCCTAGGGGATCTCTTAGAGGGAGCCCTCTTGAATGCGAGTCCCAGGACGTCGATGACGTATAGAAGCCTAAAACAGTAGCCGTTACAGGAACCCTTACCCTAACCTTCAAGGAAGCCCCCTTAAAGGGATCCCTTTGTAGGCTCCTTTTGCAAGGAGCCCTAAACCCTAAACCATCAAGGGCTCCCCCTAAGGGAGCTCTTAAAGGGAGCCCCTTCTTTTAGGCCTAAGGGAGCTCTTAAAGGGAGCCCCTCGTATTGCCGAGAGCTCAGGACATCGAAGCCCAGCAGCCGACGCCTTGGTTCGCCGAGCCCGAGGCGACCGGAGACTTGGAGTCCGAAAGCTCGCAGGCAACGGGGGGGGGGGGGGGGGCTTCGCTTGCCGACTCTGGGATTTATAATGGGAACTATAATGTAGGGGCCTTAAGAATGAGGGGGGGGGGGGGCCGGGGGGGCTTAGCTTTGGTTGGTAGGGAATCAAAGGCGCCTTATAAAGGGCTCCGAAATAAGGGATTACTATAAGGGATCTATATAAGGGTATATACTATAGTATAGGGGCTACGGAGGGGGGGGGGGGGCGCCTTGAGGAGGGTTGAGGGTTTAGGGCTTGGGGAGTCTAGGGGTGGGGGGCTTCACTTACCTTTGGGGTTAGTAGTAGGGAATGGAGGAATGGGGTACAAGTATAACTACTATTACGACCATTCCTCCATTCCCTACGAACCAAAGATAAGTGGAGGGGGGAAAAAGCGCCTTGAGCTGAGGGTTTAGGGGGTTTAGGGCTTGGGGGGTGAAGGGTTTTAGGGTTTAGGGGTCTATAGGATTTAGGGTCTATAGGGGTTTTTGGGGTGTTCGAGTTCGGAAGTTAGGGCGGAGTTTAGGGGTTTAGGGTTTAGGGTGTAAGGGGCCTCTGCCTTTCTTTCTGTTCTTATGGGATCCTTCGAAAGGGTTTAGGGTTTAGGGTCCTTCGAAAAGTGATCGGCCAAAAAGGACGGGGAGCTCTGCCTTCGATTTTGAAGGGATCTTTTCGCAAGGAAGCCTTAGAAGCTGCCCAGTGGTATAATAGGAATACAATAGGGCCCGAATATAATCCTTATAGTCACTATGACAGGGTGGGGGCAGCTTCTAAAGGAAGCCTCTTAAACGGGATCCTTTTGAGGGATCCGCCTTGTAAAGGGTTCCTTCTAAGGGCACCCTTCCAAAAGGTTTCTCACGTTTCGGTGAATCCTGTTGTGGTTTGGGGAATAATCCGCTTTTGCTAAGTGGTGTTGCCAGTCACGCCCAAAACAGGTTTTGCTGCTGTCGGAGTGGTTTGAGACCGGGGAATCGGACAGCATGTCGCCATGTCATTGCCAATGAAGCAGCAAATCGGTGCGACCCCTGCCCCCACAAAGCGCCAGACGCCGCCCAGATTTGTTGATCCACTTCGCTTCTTGTACCTCCAACACCCAGCGGCCGAGCATCTTGACGATGTGACCTCGAAACCCTATAAACATTAGACTCAGACCTTTGAAGCAGACTGGCACCTTCGACCCGTACCAGTTAAATCCGCAAGACCGAAAGTCTTACAGAAGTATGAGTCCTGAGACATCCATAAGAGGCGCTAGCAACAAAAACAAAGCCATCCATCCTATCTGGCAAGCTTAAAGCATTCAGACCTACATAGCCTGAGTTCAAGACTTGAGGCCGACCCTAAATACTCTAAGTCCTACCGCTCGTGGCACCTTTCCCGTCTGGAATCCCTAAACCCCTGAAGGAACTCCTGCTGTGTAGGCATGTAGACACATAGACCACCAGGAATGTAAACTGATCTGAACAGGCTTCTCCCGTGCTCTCTCCTCTCGCAGAGGGCAAGGCAAGGAACAGTTCGGGTGTTGTTAATCTAGGAGCCAGAGTAGACCCTTATTCCTTTTTTTCGGGTTTAGGTTCCCGTATAACCCCCTTCAAACCAAAAAGGGCACCCTTTTTGTTCCTACGTTACTCGTAGGTCTAGAACAGTTCAGGTGTTGTTAAGTCTTGCTGGCTCAGGTTTCCGGGCAACTTCAAGGGGACTTCTGAGGTTCTACAAGGGTCCCAAGGCTTCTAGAAGGATTGCGAGAGTGGGCCGGCCAACACCCCTAATGTAGGGGCCCTAATAAGTAGAAGAGGGTTTTGGGGGTTCCTTATTATAATCATGATATAATATACTCTAAACCCTTATTCCAATTATTACGGCCTCTACATTACCCCTGAACTCCACAATTCGAGAACCCAACCGCTGTCTGAATACCCTCTGACCTCTGCAAAGGAGAATCGTCTTCTGCGGGCGATGAGACAAGAAGGACTCGAGGCAAAAAATGCAACTGAACGTGGGCGCGCCGATCTCTTGTCATCGAGCTCGCTCTGTCTTTTGCCCTCTGTGCTTCTCTGCGCCGTGTGTTATATTCGCAGCAGGACAGGCCTAGGATTGCCAGGTACATGAAGGTTGAAATTCTGCATATCGTGCTGCGCAGAGTCACATGGCAGTTCGCTGCCTCTGCACATCACTGGATAAGTTGCTACCCCTACACCTGATATAATATATTTGTCTAACAACTCAATCATGGTTTCGAAACCTATGTTAGCATTGGATGCTGAAAAAGGGGGCCGATACCGGGATACTCTTTCCAATTATTGTGAGCTCTCCAATACAGCCTGCACCCTAACACCGTAACCGAAAACCCTGAAATCCCTCCAAGTCTTGGAACCTGCCCTAATCTTAGACCCAAAAGCTGCAACCGCAACCCTCTAACCCCCAGGCTTGAAACCGCTATCCCAAATCTCAAAGCGTATATAAATCCTCAGACCAAAAACTCCAAACCAATCCCTGAACCTCCGCACCTCAGCCCGCGCTTCGGCTCTGAGTCGTCCCAGCCCCCGAAGCCGAAGCCATAACCTCGAACCTTGAGCAGCCTAGCCGAAGCCCGAGCCTCCAAAGAGCCCAAGACCGCTTCCCCAAGAATCGCTAAGCCGCTAAGGTTAGCCCATAGTTCGGCTTTGACTTGCTTTAGGGTTCTCTTCTGTAGCATCATCTGCATAGCTCAGACCGTCGAGTAAAGGAAGCTGTTGCGCTCGCCGGTAATCCGGACCCCAAACTCTAAACCTCCCACACCCAAACCGCGCCAACACCTATACCAAACACCTCCGAACCCAAACCCACCCAAACCCAAGCACCGTGCACTCTTGGATACACATCCTGAGCTTCTGCCGCCCCTCCAGCAATTGCCTCATGGCGCAGCCGACATGTGTGCGGGTATTCTGAAGATTCGAAATTTTGTATACGAGCTGTGTAGGGCTTGAAAAGATCTTGGGTGTTTCAAGAGACTTCGAGGCTTTATGGGCGGGTCCGGCTTTAGGGGTTGGGGTTTCTTGGATCACGGGCCCTTTACTGGAACCCAAAGCCCCAAACCCTAAGCTCCAAAACCCTCAACCATAACTCGCAACCCGATCGTAACCTCCAAAACCCGAACCTCAGTCCATAAAGAACCGTAGTTTTATTATTACGGCCCCTACTTTATAGAACCCTACTATAGATCCCTTATAGACCCCTTATAGACCCCAGAACCCCAGAGCCTAGAACCCGGCGGCCCGTACCCCGCCGGCCAGGATTTGACAAAGGAGTTCCATCGGCTGACGGGCATCTCAGGCATACGCCGGAGCTTTCTCACTTGTTTTTAGGGTTTAGGATTTAGGGTTTAGCGTTTAGGGTTTAGGGCATAAAGGTAAATAAAGGTTTGGGGTTCAGAGTGTCGGATTTAGGGTGTAGCGTTTTATACAGCGTAACAACTTGACGTGTTGTTTCTGGGTAATCTCTTGAAGCTTTGGGTTTTCCCCTTAAAGTCCATCGCATTGCGATGACCCTCCCACTCCAGAACCGCCTGTAATCCAAAAACCCTAAGCCCTGATTTCCGACGCAAACCCTGACTTTCTGACACAGGTGCCGCGCCATTTCGGGTGCCCCAGGGTGGCTTCGTGCAACAGGCGGAGGTACCGTCCCGGTTTTCCCGGTTTATGTTTATGGACTGCGAGTTTAATGTGTTTTAAAGAGATGGGGGCTTGAATAGGGTCAAGGCCCCATTACTCATAGGCTCAGGGCGAAATAAGAGATAGCAACGACCTGTGATTGAGTACGAGAGTCTTTTCTCAAGGGTTTTGAAATACGCGAACTTCTGCGTGCAAACAAAACAAACAATGATCCTTATAGACATGTGTGTATATATATACACATACCCGTATATATGTATATATATTTTTTAAATACAGGCAAGATGTTTTGTGTACTCTTCGTATTTGCGTCTTTACTCTTACTGTCGGTCATTGCCGTGACCCTGCCCGTAGTAGCACATGCATGGTGGTCGGGTTGTACCAAAGAGCGCTGGAAGTTGTTAACCTCATTTTATGCTGTCAACCCCCAAGTCCGAAAACCCAAAACACAAAGCGCCGAAGCAGGTGATGTGATTGTATCCAGGAAGCGGGACAGGCAATGCGGGCGAGTTCCGCTGCCTTTCGTCGCAAAAGGACACGCAGTCTTCACGAACACGAAGAAGCGATCGCGGCGTAGTCACGAGATTCGCGCGCTCTTCGGTGCTGCGGCGGGCTGGCACCGATGGGTCGGCTGTCATCAAAGGGTCCGGTTTCACCAGACAGCTTCAAGATGTGAATGCCCATCATGCAAACACGAATGTGCCAACTTGTGAGAACTGTGGCTGGCAACAAGCGATGCCAGACGAGCTTCCAGGCACAAAAGAGGCCGATGCGAAGATCGCGATGAGGGTGACCGAAGGCCTCAGAAAGAGAGATGTGCACAAAGAGTGAATAAGAGTGAGCTGGAGCACCAATATAGGGGCTTATACTTTTTTGGGGGTTCCTTATTATTCCCAATTATTAAAGGCCCCCATATCAGGTTGATTCGCAGGGTCAGTTGGTGAAGGGGTAAAGGCTGAAAAGCGCCTCCGCGAGGGTGACAAGGACAGGGAGAACAACAGGCTTTTAGGCCTTAAAGAGCTTATTGTTTTAGGGTCACTTTAGGGGGTTTTAACGCCCTTCAAAGGGATCTATAAGGGTTCCTTTAAGGGATCCATAAAGGGGTTTAGGGGTTTATGGTTTTGGGCTTAGGGTTCAGGGTTTAGGGTTCGGGTCCAGAGTGTAGGGCCGAGGGCTTCAGGGCTTTATGTCTAGGACCTAGAGTAGGCCCTTATTCCCTTTTTTAGGGTTCAGGTTCCCTTATAAGCCCCATTAAACCAAAAAGGGCACCCTTTTTATTCCTAGGTTACTCTTGGGTCTAGATGTAGAGGTGCAGGATTCAGGGCCCAAGGTTGGGTGATATCTTCTGACGACTGCTGACAAGCCCTCAAGAGCTCCGAATCTCCACCCGAAAGCCGTAGAACTGAAACAGCCGTAGTAACACAGGATGTTAGTCTGACAGTTTAGGGTTTAGGGTTTAGGGTTTAGGGTTTAGGGTTTAGGGTTTAGGGTTTAGGGTTTAGGGTTTAGGGTTTAGGGTTTAGGGGTCTGGGAGCTGTTTGGTCAACTGAGCGGGACAACGGCCCAGAGCCTCGCTGTAGATAGCAGCAGTCTGATCCAGAGGTCCATGTTTCTAACGGAGCGTGTGCAGACACAACGCCAAAGGATCCCAAGTAATTGCCTACCATGCTAGAGGTAGTATTGGGAAGCGCTGAGCACGATGGTTTGTGTATGACTACTCCCAATGCTAGTATTCTAAGTATTGAATATTTGAGCAGGGCTTGTAAATGTACCTAGAGGTTCATACCCTAGCCCTTTCTTAGGTTACCTACTTTCTACATAACAGATCCTAACCATAAAACTAGGTATCCTGAAAAAGGGGGTAGGGTATGAGCCTCCAGGTATGTTATGTCTTTTCGAACCCTATCGGACCAGGTGCAGCAACACCGCCTCCGCGACTTGCGGAGATGCCTGGACAGGCACTGGTAGTTTGGGGCTCCCCCAAGGGATTAGGGTTTACTGCAGGGTTTAGGGTTCAGGGTGTGGTTTTTGTGGGTTTCCCCACAGGTTTAGGGCTTTCCCAAAGGGTGATACGACTAGTTTCTAGCACTCCCATCCCTTCGTTCGTCGGCGGACGCAAATGTCTCAACTGGGCCTTTGTGGGTGCGGATTTCGGAGTTTATGGCATTCATGGGCATTCAAGCTGACTGCGTTCTGTTTTAATGGGTTTGGTGTTTGGACATGTTCAAGTGTAGGCTTCAGGACTCTGGCCAGAAGCCGCTGAATAGAACCACTTCTACGGCATACCGATAGTTCTCGAAGAGTAGAGTTACGTAGAGCTCCTGCCATTAAGGCATAAAGCTCCCGGTAGCCGGTAGCCCTAGCGAAAGTCTCATGGCTCAACTAACATGGAAAGCAGCGGACCGCCCTCAACCGTAGCACTGCCGGCCCCTGCCAGCTGCATCAGCCTTATGCCACCCGTTGCGAGTTTCCGAAAATAGGGGTACCTTATTTTGGGGTCCTTATAATCAGGATCCTACTATTTAGGGTACTATTTGAGAAGCTTTTCTGATCCCAGGCAGGGTGCTTCGCCATCGGACATCAACAGTGTCCAGGCTGGCAGGGTAAGGGCTGAGATTCAGGGTTTTTATGATGTTAGGGGTTCTTCGGAGTGGTTTGTAAGGGTTTAGGGTGTAGGGGTCCTTTTCAGGGCGGTTTTGGGGGCGTCCAAGGCCTAGGGCAAGGGTAACGCACAGTGTAGTGCTCTAAACGCCCTCAAAGATTCCCTGACATGCAGGCACCCTGACATGCCACTCCGTCCAAGACCTTGGCAAGCTTGAGCCTTGGGCTCTCGATCTCAATTTGAACCCTAATTAAACCCTAGGATCCGCGAACTTTCGAATCCAATGAGAGTACTTTGGGAGAAAATAAATGATGGAGTTTGCCGGAGTGACGAGCGAGAAAACTCTCATAATTAAACCCATGTCTCGTGTCTCTTGCCGTGTCACCAGGACAGCGTCAGCGAGCTAGAAGGGCTCGTCGAGGCCTGACCTTTGACTCGCCTGCAGGTTTGAAGGGTTCCTTCGATGGTTCTCTAAAGATAACATTGAAGGGCTTGGATAATTAGCAGTACTATCCCTTTTTGAGTACCCATGACATTTTGTATTGTAATGTCCGCCAACACCCTTCTCTAGTTATGGAGGCTCCGACATTGTGCTAAGGCTTTAGAAAGGGTACGTAAGATGCAGCTTCGGTTTCAGGCATCAGAGTTCCGTGAAAGGCTCCGAGGAGGGTGCCTGCGAGGGTTTCTTCAAGGTTTCTGCCGGGGCGTAAAATAGGTGCCTAAACTCTACTATTTTTCGGGTTCCTTATAAGTGTAACTATAGTATAATGGGCACCAAAACCCTATTCTAATTTCTAAAGCCCCTACATTAGATCAGGCCACTGGCTTTTAGAATTGCTTGAGCTCCAGGATCCTTTGAGGTCTAGCCTAACCGGCCTAACCCTGAAGGTCCACATGACTTGGTAGTGAGACATGTGTTGGGGTCAGGAAGGTAGTTTTTGGTTAACATTTGTGAGACGATATGATTATTAGGTACGTGGACCTGAAGGGTAATGGATGAAGCCCAAAAACCCAACAACGGTAAACAAAAAAAGAAAAGCAGACCCCAAAATCCAAAAACCCTCAACCCCAAAACCCTAAACCCAAAAAAACAAATGCCTTTTACAGGACTTGGCTGATCTTGGCCCCAGGGCGCCTGCGGAGCCTCGGGACCAGGCAGGCGCCAAAAGAATGGGTTCTTGTTATAAGAAAATTACGTTACACGAACAGGCATCTACAGTAAAAGATATGGTTTCCTTGTTCTTGTAACTTAACTTAAACGCCTTAGCAACAACTCTGAAAAAAGAAAAGAGTTGCGGAGCTTACTTGGACCCTCAAAATGCTACCTCTTTTAAGGGTTCCTCATTATGACTTCCTTATATAAGTGTAGGAACACTGGGGGTTTCGGTTTTCGGTTTCGGGTCAAGGAACCCTAGGGTTTACACACCAAAAGTACGTAGAAAAGTAGCCTTTTATGGATATTGGTTAGGTATGGCCCCCACTCAGTAATAGTTGAATAATATTCATAATATAGATATATTCGGACCTTAATAGTAGCCCTATTACAGACTGTCACTGTATGGGAGCTTCTGTAAGGGGTCTATGCTAGGTCTAGGTCCTGGGGTGCGACATAATTTGGGGGGTCTGGGTAAACCCTACACTGGCCCTACACCCTAAACCCTACCTTAAACTACCAAACCCTACTTTTTTGTAGGCTCTTATTACAAATCCTAATATGGAATTTATAGGGACCCTACAAAAAGTAGGTTTTGGTAGGTTAAGGTAAGCCCCAATGGGGAAAAGTGATTTTTGGGCCGACTCACGGAGTTCATCTTGACCCTTTAGGGGATCTACAGTTACCCCCATAAAGGTGGAAACCGGATTAAGGCCACAAATAGTGCTGAGATTCCCTATACATTATATACTCTTAAGGATTGAGGCTATTGGGTTTGCAAGTGTTGGGCTTCTACTGTATTGGGGTTCCTTGGAGGGTTCAGGGTGTGTCAAGTTCCTGTGCAGGTTGCCGTGCGTCGCGCCATTGTTGGAGCGCTTTACGAGGAGCCTTCTTGAGTTTAAAGGTTCAGGGTTTAGGATTTGTTTGGGGTGTAGGGTACGGGGTTTAGGTTTTAGGTTTAGGGTTCAGGGTTTTAGGGTTCAGGGTTTGAGGTTGTGGGTGGGCTCAGTAGTCAACGGAAGACTGTTTCATGCCGCCCAGCGGTTCCGGTGCCCTTCCACAGCAGTGCTGAATGACTTGAGTTTAGGTCCCGGCGGCGACGTTGCTGCCCGGTCCGAACAATCCGCACTGCGTCTAAGCATTCTGTTGTAGGCCGATGATAGCGGAGCTGTCCATGAGACTTCGGTATGACCGACAGCTTTGCAGCTGAACCGACAGCTTTGTAGCTGAGTATTGGGGAACTATGGAATCAGCCATTTCCTGAAGTTTGTGTACACCTCTACGCTACAACGGTTTCCTGAATCCTCAACCCTAAACTCTAATCCCTGAATGATCAACGTTTAACTGCAAATCGTACTTCTGTCTTGGGAGAAGAGGGGCTTGAGCCGAACAGCCTTGCGGGAATTGTCAAAAAGGCCCCTGTGGTTTGGAGCAGGTCTAACGATCCCGATGTGGATGTGTGAAATCAAACATAGAATTACAATATCTATCGATCTCTCTGTCTACCTATCGTTCTTTCTTTATGTGTTTACATATATGTATTTGTATATATGTGGTTATATGCAAAAGAAACGAACATCTTGGACTTTTCGCTCCAAATTGCAGGAACTCCGCTCCCTGGCATCCGAAGTGAGGGGCGCCCAGGCCACCGGGATGTTCCCTAGGGCGTTGGGGTTTGGGAGTTTGCTGTTTTGGGTTTAGGGTACTTTAGTGACTTGGGGTTTCTGGTCCAGGTTGGGGGTTGGGTTGAGGGCCAGGAAAGCGCGACTAATTTTCTTTGGTTGTGGTATAGACCGTAGCGTTTATCAACAATACTACTCTTACTCTGGGTCTTGGGGGGTGCACCCCAGCAATAAGAAGTCTTGTGCGTAATCGGGGGCATCAGTTGATATCAGTTGCAGATCCTCGACAAAGGACTCTTCTTTCACTGTGGTTATGTTTCGAGTTGGAGTATGTAACAGCTGTATGAGGGTTTTATGGTGTGCGACCTGTTTTTGCTGCTGCGTGATTTCAGGGTTTGCGTGGGTCCGTCAAAGCGCTGGATCTGTGACAGCCCCAGAGACTCCAATATTCAGGCAGATTTAAGGAACATACCCTATGAGTTATGGTAGGATGCTTAATATGATTTAAAGAATATTCTTTGATTAAGGGTTATTCGAGTCTCTCGGGCCCACCCCTTCATTGCAGGTTCTCGAATTGCAGCGGGAATCTGAGGCCTCCCGCAGACCGGGAAGTGGTGCTTTTTTCTTAAGGGTCCGGGGTGTTTGGTTCAAGGATCTAATGTAGGAGCATAGATATTTACAAATACCGTTGTGGTGGTTTCCTGATCATAGTTACAGTATTATGGGCCCCACACCCTAGTGTAATTATCAAGGCCCCTGCATTATTCGGTAAGTGCGCGGAACTAAAGATCTGCATTGGGTTGGGCTGAAACGGAGTTACAGTACTCAGATTAGAGGGAGCATGACTGAACGACTCACGAAGGTGTCGCTCTCAGACGGTTGAAGACGTAAAATCTGGTTTCAACTCGGTGCAGAACACCAACACCTGAGCCCCAACCATGGCCGCCTTAAGCCAGGTTCCCCAAACTTGGAATCTTAAACTCAGGAGCCCAAGTGAGCCCCAATCTTCACGGTTGAGGGCAAAGCCTCGGATCCTAAAGCCTTGAAGTACGCAGGTGGCTAGCTACTTCACTGCCACTCCAAGCACTGCGCGGCGTGCGCCGAAAGTCAAAATGCCGTTTGGCACCCAGCCGGAGTATGTGAGGCCTGGAACAGGGCAGACTGTACGCTATAAGCCCCAGCCCAGTTACATGTAGAGTACATGATTGCCTTTCGGCCCCAACTTAGTATGGTACTCCAGCATCCTTGTCGCTCTAGGCCATAGTAGCGTCTTGCGAATCGGGCACATGCCTTAATGACTAAGGCGTGAGCACACTAGCATGTTTGGGGATTTGTTGTTGATTGATGGCTTGAGCGTCTTGGCCTCAAGGAGCGGAGCGTTAGAGCCCAAGCAGATTATAGCTGCTATCTTCGAGCGCATTATGGTTGCAGTTCGCTGGCAAAGTGGCATGAATACGCAGTGTTGGTGTTGAGAGCATTTATGGCACTCCACCGAAATTGACCCCAAGCCTTAGCTGAACCCCCCAACTGATAAACCCCACAACTTGAACAGCTAAGCTGCTAGGCAGCAAAGCACAAAGGCCGTAATTACAGTTGTTTACGGGTGCCTTTGTTGAACAAGCGCCGTTTCATTGAGGGCTATGTTTTGGGGTTGTGGTTTAGGGTTGAGTGTGGGGCGTTTGGGGTTTGTGTTTGAGGGCTTAAATAGGTGGTATCAGAATTTCTGTTTTGCGGGCTTCAGGGTTTAAAAGCTTGGGGTGAGGGTTTAGTAAAAACTTCCAAAGCAATCTCGACCTCACTTTTGGGCCCAGGTCTGTGGTGGAAAAGGACGACTTCGCAGACCTGTCCCGTGTCTGCAAAAATCTGGGTGCCAAGACAGGCTTTGTTGCTCTGCGAGAAGCCAGAAGCCTTGCACCCGAATCCTGGGACTTAGATTACAGCTTACATAGTACCACATCTAGTAGGATCCTCATCATAAGAACCCCAAAATAAGGCACCCCTAATTCTCGGAAAGCCCCGTATATACTACTATTATGGAATCAGGATGGTCTCATCCTCAACCAGGTCCCAAACGTCGCATCGTCACACCCTCCAGCCCAGAGATTAAACCGTCAACCCTCAATCCTATCTCGTGGGACCTCCTTGGAGGTCCTACTCCAGGTTCACACTGCTCACATTTCGTGGTTACAGGACATAGGGTTTAGGGTTCAGGGCTCCGGGGCTCAAATGCCTACATAAGAAAAGATTTCGGCTCGGGCAGCTGATTGAGACAACAGCTAGAACATGATTTTGTGTAGTAGGACCCTGAAACCCTAAAACCCTGAACCCTAAAACCCTAAACCCTAAACCCTTGGTCTTAAACCTGCAATAACCTTAAAATTGGGGGATCACACGGGTGTCGCCTCCCAAAACAGGTTGGGCCAAGTGGGCGACGGCCCCAGCGAGCCGGGGAGGCTGGGTCCCACCGGTTCTAGGAAGGGTTTAGGGTTCAGCGTTTAGGGTCGGGTTTAGGGTTTGTGGGGAAGGGATTAGGGTTTAGGGTTTGTGGTCAAGGGGTTAGGGTTTAGGGTTTAGGGTTCAGGGTTTAGGGCAGGGTTTAGAGTTTAGGGTTTAGGGTTTAGGGATTGTGGTGAAGGGAGTAGGTTTTTCGGGTTTAGGGTTTGTGGTGAAGGGTTTAGAGTTTAGGGTTTAGGGTTTTTAGGGTTTGTGGTGAAGGGGATTAGGGTTTATAGTGAACCTCAGAAAGTGGGAAGATGGGTTTAGGATGATTAGTGCGAGAATTCCCTCCGAGCGAAACCCCGAGGCCGGTAGTATCATGAGTCTCAGGGGCCCAGGGCTTTGGGCATTGCATGGGCTGGGCTGGCCCATAATACTGTACTTATTATAAGGAATCCCCAAAGTAGTATAGGTAACTAGAAGGCCCCTATATTAGAAGCTTGAGGTTCAGAGGTGTTGAGAGTATAGGTCTTAAACGCAGAAGCCCGCAAGCATCATGCTTTATGATCTCAGGTGGAGGGTTTCTCAAGCCCTAAATGGGAGTTTCCGAAGATAGGGGACCCTGATATAGTACCCTAAATCGTAGGACCCTTCTTATATTATAAGGACCCCCAAAAAAGGTACCCCTCATTTTCGGAAACCCCCAAATCAGGAACTCTAGAAACCCTAGACCCCAGTCTCTGAATCCATGCATTATGGGTTTGAGGAGCTTGAGATGGGTGGGGCTAAAACGAGAGGCCAGCAGCCAGCGCTGCGCTTCAAGCAGAGGACGGCAGCGAGAAGATGCTAGTTCTGTTAGTCCAAGAGTCTAGGGTTTGTTAGGATGCAGTGGATGAGTCCTCCCAAAAGTTTCAGATGTTGCGTTTAGATCAATATCCAGCTCTGAATAGCTGCACGCATCATAGGACAAGACCTTGAGTCAGGCTAGCACAGCAGCTTTCCTGACTACCTATCGTTTTTGTTTTTCCCCGGTCGTTCAGGCTTCAAGGCTTTGAAAGCAGCCCGTCTGGCGTGCAGGCTTTCAGAATATATAGAAGGCATTGGGTTTCATACTCATGACACTTTGGGAACAAGTATGACCGGTGTTCTCACTCTTTACTACGGTGTGACAGTTCTGGGAGTCTCGCGCGATAGTTGCCACACCTTAAAACCCTAACCCTGAAACCCTAAATTCATAGCTCCCTGAAGCCCTAAACCCTAAAGCCCTAAACTCGTAACAGCCTAAAGTATTAAACCCTAAATCCTAAGCCCTAGAGCCACAGGAGCAACGGCTCTTGGCGACCTTCACCACTGATCTGGACAAAATTCAGGCACGGCCAGTCTCCCTGAGCCCAAAACCCGAAACTACTGTTGATGGACAAAATCCTGCATGACCCTGAGGACTCTAAACTATGGGAACTATGGTATATTCCTTATTCTGGGTCATGCAGGATTTTGTCCATCAGCAGTATGATCTCGAAGGGTTCAGTGTTTAGTGATTTAACCCTAAGCCCTGAACTAGACATGAACTCGAAGCCTTCAAGCCTTAACCCTGCACCCTAAACTAAACATAAACTCGAAGACCTCAAGCCTTAGCCCTGCATGAAACGGCGCATAATCTCGAAGCCCTCAAACCCTAAACCCTCAACCCCCAGCTTCGTTTCGCTTGACATCGAATGCATGCATCGCAGAGACGGCCCGCACTTTGAGCCATACTCCCGAATGTTAATTTCCACATGCTGCCGTTGTTGCAAGAGAGCTACCCTAGATTCTGCTTGATGCTATACTAAATAACCCAAAACCCTAAAACCCAAAACCCTAAACCCCTAAACCCAAAACCCTAAAGCCTTAAAATCCTAAAGCCCTAAAACACTAAACCCCCCCAAACAACACGATGAGCCCCAACCAATAGCTCAGCTGCTTCATCCTCGGTCCTCGAGGGCTGCCCTAGAACTCCGGCGTCAGCACGAAACAGGGGTTTGGGGGAATTAGGGTTTAGGGATTTAGGGTTTAGGGATTAGGGTTTACGGATTTAGGGTTTAGGCTAGCTCAACTACGTAGCCCAAAACCCGAATGTCCTTCATGACGGAATCTGTCCAACATCTTTGTCGGGTTTATGTTTCTATTGCTGAACCGCGGCTTTCAGCGGTGCCCTAAACCCAAACTGTAAGAATTAAGCGATCCAGGAGACGAGAACGAAGATCGAGGAGGTCTCGACGATGGTGGGTCTCTTCGCGACCAAGGTGGCAACCGAGTGAAGCCTGCAACCTCTATTGTCCAGCATCTCTGAGACTTACGGTCAGGTTTAGACAGGGCTTCAGGGGCTTGGGGTTAAGGGTTTTCAGGTTTGTGTAAACGACATTTGGCTTCAGGGTTTGGGGTTTAAGAGCTTATAGTATGCATGGGTCTATTTTTGTAGAGTTATCAGGCATATTCCTAAGTTTCCTGCTTTTCGTGCTGCCCGCGACCTCGGACTATCTTGAGTCCCTTCTTGCGTGAGACTCTAGTGTGGGCAGAACTAGGAACTACATACAATCTTGCACCACATTTGGCCGTTCCTACTAAGCTCGTTTTGTTTGCCGAGGGGTTGGAGGTCTTCCCGGCCAATAATCCTGAACCACAAGGAAAAGGGTTTACCTATAGTGACCATTGTAGTTCACTGTTTAATGGTTAGCCAAATCTATGTTTTAGGATCTTGAACATAAAGCGGGTTAGCCAAAACAAGGAACTACAATGGGGACTATAGCTGGGGTCCATGAAGATATTGAGCGGATATTCAGGAACCGAGGACTATCAGGCTCACGGTTTCGGGTTTTAGGGTTTGGGCTTTTTGTTCGGGGATCAGACTGCAAGAGTCAGCTCTACAAATTCCTCCAGAACCTTGCGATGAGCTATTGCCATGCTCCGGTCTCCTTAGACTGTCGATATGGAAATCCAGATGCTCTTGCCCGTCCGACTTTGAGAGCGCCTACCGAACAGAAAAGCAATTCATATCTGCAACACGAGTTTCATGCAATCCAAGTAGATAAAATGTGTGTAAATGGCAGGTTGCGGAGCAGACGGAACAAACCGTCAATGCCTTGGGGGAGAATTGGCACAGTCGGTCCATCGTGATGTCTTGAACAATGATACTAAACCCTAAACCCCAAGGGATTTGGGGATGTGAGGTTGAGACGCACGAAACGTGAGACGAGCTTGCTGAAGGGCTTAACTCAAAGCTGTTACCCATTCACAGGGTAGTTCGAGATTAAGTTTTCCTTGGTTTGAGATCTAGGGACCTTCCTTCTCTCGGATTTGTATTGGATGACTACCGCGGAGGGCCTCGTGGCCAGCTTACCTTCGGTTGACGATGCCTCTAGGGTTGAAGATGCATACACTCATGCTCCAACTCCGGGGTTCTGATTTGTGATCTTAGGGTTCAGTTTAATAAGGATCTGAGGGTTTGAGATCTCGGGAATCTAGGGTTCCGGAAAGGGTCAGGGTTCAGACTCAGTTCGTGAGACCCTCAATCGCTCAGCGAGCTTAGCTTGGACCCCTGGCTAATACAACCACACTCTCAAATGATACTGTTTGTGAAAACGATATTTCATTTTTCAATATTTAGTTACTGTCTTTGCAGAGTTCAGACGATGTGTAGGGTACAGCCTGAGGTTCCGAAGCGAGCCCCCCGATCTCATCCGAAGCAGATTGGGTACTGAAGGGACTGCTGCTCCCATTCAAAAGCCAGTTGACCCGTAAGCCCTGAGCCAGCAACACACCAAGGATGAGATCTACGACCTCACCGAAGAGAGTCCTGACCTTGGCCCAAGGTCTTTGTGTCGCTGCACGCTGTAGATTACCAGGTAAGGCCTTTGGGACATTTCATGGTTTCCTTTTGGGCCCAAGAGGATCTTTCTTTCCGAATATTTTGTCAAGGCTTTAAACAGCCAACCTAGATTTTATGCCATCGGCAATCGCTCAGTTGACTGCAGCGCTGCCCTAAGTCAGGCGTTTAGACCGATGGAGCTTCCAGAATGTTCTAAATCTTGAGTCTTGAGAAACTCTTCGAATAAGCAGTCGTTGTTGACCATCGCCCGCCTAGTGCTGCTGATGGACAAGTAGCGGAGCTCCTGGTCAGATCGTAGCAAGAAGAACCCTGAAGAGATTTCCTGTACTCATGAGCCAATTGTTTTGAGCAGCCATCTTTTGCTTAAGGAAACTCGTTCCAATCCCTAGAATCCTAAACATCAACCTATATACTGCACACCTTAAAACCCTAAACCCTAAACCCTAAACCCTAAACCCAAAAACAAGCGCCTAAACCCGAAACCAGGACGCAGGGATCCTGAGTCCATAGATAGCACAGCATCTTGGCCCCAGATGCCACACCCCCACTCACCGTCGAAACCGCCTCCCCCTTCGGACTTGCCATGGTCTTAGGGGTACTTAGAAATAATTTTCAATTTTCGGTTATTATAATACCTAAGAAACAGCTAAAATTAGAATTGTTGCTAGGGTTCTAAGTTCAGTATAGTGGTGCTGTTTCTCCTGTTTAAGGTTTAGGGTTAGGGTGACAATAAGACCGACCACAGCCAACGAACATCTGGTAGCACTTTTCTTGTTTCGTCTAAACCTAACCCCATATCTGCAGACCCGGCGGATCCTACAGTACTACTTTTGTTTAACTGAATAAGGCACTTACTAGATAATTACAACAGATCCCATACTACGAGTTCGTCCTGTTACTGCATCCGTTCTCCCCCCAATGATTTCAATTAGGCCTTGGGGACCCACTGAGGCACGGCATACGTCGAGTCTGCTCAGCAGCACCTGGAAAGGGCCGGAGACCTTGAACTCACTGCCCCTGAAGCTATCAAGACTGTCATTAGACCACCTTCTTCTGGGGGTGTTGGGTCAGGCATGACGGTTCAGGGATTAGGGTTTGGGGTTAATTACAGGACGTTTTCTAGGGAGTAGGTCAGGGCTTCGGGATCTAAGGGTTTCGGGTCTAGGCAAATGACCTTTTTGAGTTCGGTGCCACGTGAGCCGCGATAGAGCCCTGAACCAAACCCTGCTTGGAGATCCAAACACCCTACCCTAAGTGTCCAAAGGGCCCAATCATCAGGTACTTAGGTTTCGGATAGTAGTTATATAGGTTACAATTTTGGACAGTATATTAATTAGGTACTTGGCTACCGTTTTAGGGTGGTCAGGCTTAGAATAAGGCCAGGGTTCACAACCTCATCTTGCCCACTGTGTTGAAGAGTTTGGGGTTCCTTCAAAGGCTAAAGTGGCGCAGTGAGCAATTGACGAACAGTTCCTGATGAAGCCTCCAGCAGTCCTGAATCATAACATCTAAACCCTAAGCCCTGTCCCTCGGCAAGCCCTGCTCCAAATTCGCATTCTAAATGTCAGGTTCGGGATGGCTCAAACTCGCTGGTGGCTTGGCCTGGACTATGCCTCCAGGATCTTTTCGAGGAGGAGACTTCGAAAGAACCGCTCGAGAAGCCGGCCCCGGAGACTTCGGCAGGACCGGAAACTTCGGAAGGACCGCTCGACAAGCCGCCCGGGGAGACTTCACAAGGACCGGTCGACAAGCCGGCAGCGGAGAATCCAGCAGGACCATGTGCACCACGATCGGGCAGATGCTACGCAAGGAGGGCGCGGCTTCCTTGTGTGCGAGTTTGGACAGGTGCAGCAGGGGCCTTAATAGTTATAGTATATTATACCATAATTATAATTGGGAACCTCCCTCCCAAAAAACATACCAATATTACTTTTTTGTTTGGTGGGCCCCCAAACCCTACCGTTGCCTACAATTCCTCTAAGAATTAAGGCCCCCACATTGCCTGCCCTCAGCCTGGCCGATCCTCCCTCGGCCTCCCCGCCCCCCTAACCCTAAGGGTCCAAGTAGCTAATTATCATATGGGAGTTTCCGAAAATAACGGGTACCTTTTTTTGGGGGTCCTTATAATAAGGATCATACTATTTAGGGTGCTACATTGGGTCTCCTATTTTCGGAAACTCCCATATACTCTCCAAAATAGTAACCTACATAACTACTATCCGAGACCTAAAGTACCTATAATTACTGGGTCCTTTGGACCCTTAGGGTAAGGGTCTCATGCAAAAACTTGCCAATGGCTCCATGTCACGTGTGCCTATCTAAGACCAAAGCCCTGAAATGGTTCATAGTATTGCAATTTTCTTACCGTTGGTTAGTAGGGAATGGAGGAATGGGGTACAGGTATAACTACTATTTCTACCATTCTTCCATTTCCCACTAACCAAAGGTAAGTTTTCAGCCGAAGTATAGTGCATATTTTGCACAGAGGAGTGCAAGATTCCCGAAAACTGTAGTAGTGGTTCTTGATGAGGAATCCTTCGAAATTAGGGGATGACACTTTGGGCATGGCTCCATCTAAATAGTACCCAGCTGTTGGGGACGTGGGATTAGGATAGTCGCACCTGCAGTGGAGGCATACGTAGGGGACGGAATACTGTAATTATATCATATACAACACCCTTATAGTCGGTACATAGCTATAGTAAAGTATGCCTCGAAGCCCTGTTCCACTTCTTGAGGCCCTGTGCCTGAACTCTAAACCCTAAACCATAAACCCCTGAACCCTAAACCGGTATAGGATGGAATGGGTCTCCCATGCGGCATGCCGAGGGCCTGGGAATTGAACTTGCTTGGATGAAAGGCTCATGGCTTAGATGTGGAGGTGGTCGGATAGCTTCCAGTAACCAGTCTCTGTGCAGCTTCCACACCCCCTTTCCCTAAACTTAGGGCCCGCGCTAGGTCGGGCCCTTGGAGCCTGAAATCTGGACTTCCCCAGGCCATCCAGAACAGCAACTCCTATCGTTTCTATGTCGTCTGCTGGTTTATCGGGCCCGGTGCTCAGTGGCTCAGAAAGACCAGTGACCAGGTGAAGACATTTGGGAGTTTCCGAAAATAGGGGACCCTAATATAGTACCCTAAATAGTAGGATCCTCATTATAAGGACCCCAAACTAATGTACCCCAATTTTCGGAAAGCCCCATTTGTTTCACCACGACCTAAAACCCAAGGCCCAGACCCCATAAACCTTAGGGTTTCCAATGTTCCAAAGTACCCAACAACTCGGGGTACTCACGTCCAGGATGGCAACTATAACAGGTAGGTCATTAAGTGGTTACCAAGTGAATAGTACCTGAGTGTCAGAGCTTGCGGTTGCATATGAATGAGTTGCTACGAACACCTTGTGTGTACAGTTGCAGCACAAGCAGGACGTATCAATTCATAAAGACCCTGCGAACGATCAGATCATGGTGGCTACTGACAGCTTCAACTTCAACGTTGTTCCATAGGGCCCCTTCATAGAATTTTCAACCATTTCGTAGCAAGCCATCGTCTCCCAAGTGGGTAGTGTTCGAAGTTATGGCCCCTTTTGGGGTCCAAAAGGGACCCTAATTTTGACAATCACCCAAGTATTAAGGCCTCTCTTTTACTTCCTGTGGTCGTGCCAAGGTCGGCGCTGTTTCTCCTCGTCTTCGACTACATCGACGCTCGCTGGTCCCCGATTTGAGCAGGCCCCGGGGATTTGTTTGGCTTTTTTGTTTTCGGAAAGCCGCACCTCGTATTGCGGAACCTGTATGGGAGTTTCCCAAAATAGGGGGGGTACCTTATTTTGGGGTCCCAATAATCAGGATCCTACTACTTAGGGTACTGGATTAGGGTCCCCTATTTTCGGAAACTCCCGTATATTAAAGATCCTACTAGTTCTCGGTTCTATGTTGAGGCCTTGCTCTGGCATCATGCGGGAGTTGGGATTTCGGGGGACCCCACACGCAAGGCCTAGCACTGGAAGATTCCTTGAATTCGGAGTTTCCCCTGGGCGTCAGGTACCTAAATAGTAGGTTACTGGGGTACATATTATCTGGATTGTCGTTTGGGTAGACAACCATAATAGTAGATAATCTTCAAAGGGCTTAAAGGACAACTCAGTTATATGGTTAGCAACCTACTATGTAGGTAACTGGAGCCCCAGGGTTTGAAGTGCACTGTCCAGGCCCCAAGAAGAGAGCCTCCAAACAAACCGAAGGCACAGCCCATACGGGGTTTTATAGGGCTTCTTGGGTTCCTTTCACGGATGGCCCACAAGACCTCACGCAAACCCAAGCCGAGCTTCGCAAGCGTGGAAGTTCAGCTGCAGGGATTTCTCGATTCTGTACAGTCGATCCAAACTGGGACCCCGTAGTACAGAGAGATACATATTCAAGGGGCAGCAACCCGAATCGGGCATCATCCAGATCCGAGATCCCTGTATAGGGGTATCATTTCATGTCTTTCTGTCGTAACCCTAGTCTCGGGCACAGGATGCAGAAGGGGACCCGTGACTTGCAGATCATCCTAGGTAACAGTAACCACCTCCCAGACAATCCTTTTTGAGACCACAGTCCGCCCGAAGATGGTCAGGTAGTGAAGCATTTTGGTTTGTTGACCTTGCCCCATAGCTGCAAGATTCGGGCCCGCAAGCACGGCCCTTGTAGAAGATGCTCGTCAGATTATCGCGCATAGTTCACGTTTTCTGGCGTTTTCTTGAGCAAATATCGTGACCGTTATCATAACCCCTTTTACGCCTTGCACCGTACAGTATCATGTACTATTTATAGGATAGAGGGCCCATATATGTTGGGGGGGTTCCTTGTTAGAAATATAGTATAGTGGGCCCTTATTTAGTTTCACGAGCTCCCAGCCCCTGCATCCCGAGCCCGAGAGCACTGCGACTTGGATGCCCGCCGGCAGGCCTCGCACCAGCGTAACTTCCCGCGGCGCACGCGGAGAAAAACGTGTGTACGTGGGTTCAGATTTTTTGGTTTTGGTGTGGTCCGATTTAGAACTCAGTGGGGTTCAAAACCACTTGTAGGGCTTTCTTTTCGGTGTTTTGTCTTGGGTGGGGGAGCCTGCAATGACTTTGCATGCCTGTCTCCCCACATCCTCTCTGCGAGCTGCTGAGCCCCTGAACCTGAACCCGAAACCTGATAACCCCCACCCCTAACCCCCAGTCCCCAAACACAAAACCTACAAGCCCGAGGCTCTTCAGTCGAATCTCAAGGTTACCATGCACAGCATCGTGCATGATGTCCCGGCTCGCAGAGTACTTGAGGTTTGGGTTTGAGGGCTGTTGTTGATAGCACAGTCATATGAACATATCCTACAATGAAGCAGGCATGGTAGTTCGTCCTAAGCCTCAGGCCCCAAACCCTAGACACCCCTTCAAACCTCAACATCAAGGCTGAAATCCCTAAAGCCCACTTAAGGTAGGCTGGGAGTCATCTATCTCCCAAAAGGGTTCAGGATTTAGGGTTTGGGGGTTTAGGGTTTAGGGGTAGGCTATGGCAGTTACATGAGTTAAGGTACGTAAACCCTAAACCGCAAAAGCCGGCTGAAATGGGGATCTGCCAGGTCGCACCTTGCCTGCACTCTCCTGCACTCAAGCTTTCTCTCCAGTGGGGACGTTCAGGGTTTAGGGCTTAGGGTAGACATCCCCAAACCTCTGAAAGTCCACTACGTGGGAATACTAGGCCTAAACCCTAAATGGCCAATAACACCTTTAAGAAATCCACTACGTGGGGAGACTGGGCCACCAGAGCATCCGTTTCTGAAGTTTGGAGCTGCAGGACTGAGATTTGTTCTACTGGTTCACGACTTTTTCGCTGCTGAGCGCCATGCTGACGAAAATTTGGGTCTATGTCTACATGTACTTCTTTGTTTATGTTCTTAACATAAGGTGTGCTGAGATTATGGGGATACTTATAGGTGTGTATATACATATACGCATGTAACTACACACACACAGATAAGTGGATGGATATGTATGGCAGTTTCTTGTGAATAGCTAGTAGCATTAGCATACGGCTCCTTTTGCGACTTATGTATAACTTTTGCACGAATATTTGCGTCTAGCAGTCGGTTTCCGTTAAAATTTATATGCCAAAAATCACCAGAGCGGCGTTTTACTGCTACGCCCCCCCCCCCCCCCCCCCCCCCCCCCCCCCCCAAGTAGATTTTTCGTCCTCCCGGGACGAGCTGCAGGATTGTAGTCTCCGATCTCCCACAACGAGTCGATTAAGCTTCTTCAGATATACGACTTCGTCAAAAACTGATGCTCCAGGTGGTGACCCCAAAGCTTTTAGCCCTTTGGAACTACCCCCCAGACCCCAAAATGGGAGTTTCCGAAAATAGGGGACCCTAATATAGTACCCCAAATAGTAGGATCCTTATGAAAGGGACCCCCAAAAAGGTACCCCCAATTTTCGGAAACTCCCAAATCCTGAAACTTACCCTCCCCGAAGTTGACAGCACTCCCAAACGGTAAAACTCCGCAACGCGAAAGCTTGAAACCTGCTAAACTTTTTTTAGAAAATCCTCCCAGAGCGCCCATAATGTATGGGGCCTAAATAATTACCTTTGCTCTTTTTGGGGTTTCCTTATTACATTTATATTGGAATATCCCCCAAAACTCTCTTCGAATTATTGAGGCCCCTTTGCCCCTCCTACGACCGCATTCCGATGGCCCGAAAGCCGCGGCATCAGAGCCCAGGCACCCTGCCAGCCGGTGTGCCTGATCAGATACTCGCCGGCAGTTAGCTAGACCTCCATAGTAGTTCCTGTTTGTGGTTCATTTATAGAATCCTATAACTATAAGGTAGTCCCAAAAATGAACTACTCTGGAGCCTATGGGTAGGGGCTATATGAGGGTTTGAGGGTTTTGTAGAGTTGTTCGATGCCTTAAGTGGCAGTGAAGTTGCGAGGATTTAAGGTTGCAGTGATTAGGTTCTTTGGTGTCGGATACTAGCAGTTGCAAGTTATAGAACGTCGGGTAGCTGGAGAGGCCGGCCGATGTACCCCTTCGCCAAGGGGTACTCCTCGAACTTGAATAGTGCTTTGTGCGATGATTGGTAGAAGGAGCGTTCGTCAAACCGGAAACTGTCTCTTGTCGTGATTCAAGACAACTGCCTCGAATCATAACTAGGCGGTTTTCTTTCGAGTTTTCGGCATAGTCATTTTTGGTGTTGCATACATCCTCCGGTTCATACGCGGCATGTTTAAGGTTCATTGTTTGGGTTCAAGGCTGTGGGCGTAGCGCAACTCCGACGGTGGCAACGGGCTGCAATAGGTCCAGGTACCAATGTTCAGTACATAGCTTACTTCAAAGAGCAGGGACAGCTTATAAGTGGACTTGTCAACAGGGTTAACCCTACTGAGTGTGCTCGATAAGATCGCTGTAAAGCCTCCTGGATGTTTGAATATCATACAGCTCTACTGGTAGACGCCGAAGAAGCCCTGAAACTTGAAATTTCTCAGCCCTGGGCTCCACATCCTAAGCTTCTAAATCCTCAGCCCTCAGCCCTATGACCATCAGGTCCCCACAGGACCTTGCTAGAAACCACACACCTTTCAGCAGCGATCCTTACTATGAGGACTCCTAAATCAGGCATCCTCAGTTGTAGGCAACTCCATGTGTAGAACAAACACATCACTGAGTACGGGGCGTTTCGGGTTCAGGTTCTAGGCTTCGGGGTTTATGGTTTAGGGTCTAGCAGGACGCGCATCAAGTGCTAGGTAAAGAGGTTTCGCACTCTTGGTTAGACGGTTTGTCGTGTTGCAATCGAGAGTAGTTTGGGATCTAGGTGCTATGTAGAAGAAGGTCGCCAAGAGTCGCGATACACAAGAAGCATAAAGAGCATCACGTCATTGGACATGTTAAGATGAATTCAGTAGTGTTTCCCCAAACACGCTTTAAAGTCCTTGTTTAATATGTACCGAGAGCAGAATCCCACGAGCCTCCCTTGCAAACAAGCCCTACAAGAACACACTGCTATTTAGGGTTTATAAGGGTCTGTACAGAATTATATATAATTTACAAGTTCAATAAAACATGTAACATATAATTCTACATTATTAGATAGCTAATATTACTAATAGTTATTATTATAAACAAAGTTTCATTACCAGTATCATTGTATAGGGGTATATACACCCCAGCGCCTTTCTGCCCAAAGATCCTCCCATCCCGGACGGCGACACCATCACGCCCAGCACTTGGTACGTCGCAGACTGCGGTGTACGTGCAGGGTTCGCGTTCGGTTACTGGGGTTTGGAGTACCAGACTTATATTTCTGTATTTGTTCTAGGTTCGGGCATTTTTGCTGCAACGCCTTGCATTCAGGTTTCATGCCCCAGCTTAGGTCTAAACTTTGCCGTAAAGGGGTTCTTATATCAGAGTTTGCGGGCCCGAGCATGGCCTTTGGAGGCTTTGGGTTACTCTTCAATCGTCACGCCATTGGGGATCCAGTTGACACTGGAGTGGTAGAGTTCAATAATACTCGTATAGTAGAAGCAGCAATAATAGTAGTAGCTATGGTGGTAGTAAGGGTGCCGGTTTTCTCTTCTGTTAAAGTTCAAGGCCTGCATCTTCCTCTTCAGGTTTGCGATGAGGGTTCCTCGAAGGCCGGTGCGCTGTCAGGCCCCTAAACGGGTACTTTCTATGGGGTACTAGACGTGTTATATGTCTATATAGCT